TAAACTTTTACCTCTTTAAAGTTGGGAAGGATATTGTATCTTATAGTAAAGTCAGAATATCTATAGTCTTGGCTAATTATCTAAATTTTCATAAAGAAATTTGTAAATTATTTTAGTTCCTCCTCTAGAAAATACAATATAACTTCAAACTCCACCACCATTGGGTATTAAAATTGAAAAAGTCAGGGAAAGCAAAATCTGGCATAGTGAAAAACTTCACCCTCAAAGCCACATGAGTGTGTGAAAAGCGAATCCTGATTTTGTCGAACTGAACCCGTAAGATCCTTAAAGTCAGCAAAATGAAATTTACATGAGGTTAGCAGGGAGCAAAAGGACCTCAACCCAAACCGAACTGAGAGCCGAAGTGAACCGAATCTCATTGTTATGCCAAGACATTGTCCTCATCAAATTATGGGCATGTAAAAATAGTTGCCATCCTCTCGGCCATATTGCTCGGCATTATGTAAATCTCTCGCCCTTTCTAGCGACACGCATTTAATTGCAGGACGGAAGCGGGTAAGGACTTTATGACCGACATTACACGAGTGTTAACGATGACAATGAGCGGACAGGATTGGAGGTCCTGCCACCTAGCACGTGGTGCGCTCGCTCCTGCGAACGTGAGCCAAACAGGCCCGGACTCATTATAATTCGTCTGGTGTCTTGCTATTTTTATAGACACTTGCCACTCTGTTGAGACTGCTGCTGCTCGGCACTTCATAAATAATCAGATTTCTCATCGCCAGGCCGGAGATGAATCTGTGGGCACGGGTGCCTCGTTTATTGAACCCAACCAGCCGCCGCCACTTGACATCTGCGATGTCTTAAAGGGAAGCTTCCGTTCCGAGTTACTTCCGTTGCCTGTCATGCCTATTTTTGTATATTCATATCCGAAAATTTGTATATGCTTATGCGCCGCTAAGCCAGACAGAGAGCCTAACAAATCCATGGGTAGTTTTCAATTGCCAGTTATTTCAATTTATTTTCTTGTTTTTTCCACTCCCAGGATATGAAGCCACCCATCTTTCGCATCCATTTTGTAGACTTGACATAAGGCGGCGCGTGGTTCTTGTTTTCTTATTATTTATTTTATCTATATTTTTTTTTGCTCCTTAAATAGAACATGCTGTCAACACTGAGAAGGAAAGATTCGAGTGGTGTTCTGGAAAGGGTTATTCATGGGGGATTCATTGGGTTTAAAATATTCAAAATGTAACTGACCTTATGTTTATTTATGAAAGTAATTAATTTATGAATTCTAAAGGGATATGTACCGAAATGGTACTAAAACTGAGCTCAGAAGGTTGAGAAGAAGCCATTTTAAGCCTCATTCGGAATAATGGTTAGAAGAAACATTGTCTGTAAATGAAATATTTCCTTATGTTTTAAGTTTCAGCAAAACTTTTCAAGACTGTGCAATAATTCCCAATTCCCAACTATTTAATATAAGTTTTCTTTAATATATTATACCAGTTATGTCTGGCTTAATAATATCCTTTATTACAGTAACATTGAGTTTATTATGTATCAACTTTAAAGTACCTGAAATTCCAATACTGTGTTGTTACACACTTTATTCATTTACACAATTTAATTACCTCCTTAATGGCACTTACCAACTCCATTAACTCTGACAAGTTGCATCTGCAAACAGCACAAAATGCAGCTAACGAAATGGATTGCTGGAACATCCCGGGCATCCTCGATCTGAATATTTGGCAGGACTCCGCCCTTGGCTCCTTTTGTTTTGCATGGCCTGTCTGGTGTTCCGTTGTTATTTTTGTCATTTTAAGTGCTTTGCCAAATGCACACGAATCGCTGCAGGCGCATCACGAATATTCCGCTGAAACACTTGTGGCGGATGTGTGCGTGTGTTTGTGTCAGAGAGGATGTAAGGATCCAGGGAAAGGGGCTGGAGGATGCTGTTCTGGCCCGGAAGCTGTTGAGCGCCTAAAGAGGCAAGGGGGACGAGCACGGAAGATGGGCGGTGTTAAGAGGGCCGTGGCGCGACCTACAGCAAACATTGGCCAAAAAAAAATACACAAAACGCGGCTGCCTTTGGCTGCACTGCGAAAGCAGTTTTAGGACACAAAAAAGTATAAACACTGAAAGAAAATTTACTAAGCATGTTTATACCCTTGCTTGCAAAGCAGTGAAGGGGTCATTTCGAAACTTATAAATCATATATATTATTGATCAGCACAAAGAGCTGAATCGATCTAGGCATGTTTGAATGAAACCAAATATTCGACCTTTTTAAGGGCTACATCGTCAAAATTGTGAAAAATTGGCAAAATTTTAAGTTTTTTAAATTTTATGTATTCAGATTTATTAACCTATTAAAACTATCATAGGAAAGTTTTAAATTAATGTTCTTTGACAAAGTTATGACATTCCGAAAACCTTGATTTGTCAAAAAAATTGTTATAGAAAAATATCTATAAATATCGATTGAAAAAATCCGAATTTGCTAAGCATCCTTTTGATCGATTTCCAACTCGCTGATATAATTCAAATTCAAACATATTCTCCGTGTAGATGATAGATGCCGCAGATTCCCAGGACTCTCCATCGAAATAGGCCCGAATAAAGAATTTTTGTAAAGGAAATGCTCAAAAAAGCATTGCGGCTTAGTGAACGACCCAAAATACAAAATACAAAAAAAAAAAAGAAAACATACCGAAATACGAACAAAACAAGCAAACAGCTCACTGCTCTTTTATTTGCTTAAATTTGTTTAGCAAGTTTCACAGTTTTTGCGGCCACTTTTCCCCATTGAACTCGAGGGGCGAAAACTTTTGGAGCAGTTCCGTTCCGGATTGGTTGGGAATGGAATGGAATGGCTTGGCAATGATGAAGTTATTGATGGCGATGATGGAAAATCGCTTTCGCAGCTGCAGCGGCAGCTGTCTGAGAATTTCCCTACAGCATTTCGTTCCTCATCGACTTTTCCTTTGAGCATTTAGGTGGAAAATTCCATGCCCGAGCAAGGTTGCGGGGAAATCACTCATTCGCAGCGTTGCCAGACGCAGATTTTGTATTCTTTTTTTTTTCTCTTCTGTTCTCTTTCTTTTTTTTTGCACTGGCGACAAACAATAAAATACAAATTTGCTACTTTATTTTACAGCAGCGCATAAAGAAGAACAACAAACGGAAAACATTTCCATGACCTCATGTGGTGAACCCAGACGACTCACAGCAGTCAGCATCTATGGGGGTCCTTCGCGTGGAGGGGGGAGGAAGGCGAGACGCAGGACGAGTTGGGTCGAAGTTCGAGGGCCAAAAAGGGGCGGCATTTGGGGAGGTAGGGGACCGTGGAACCTTTAAGTAGGTCGCAACAAAATAAAAACTTTGTTTGCCAGAGCTCTCCATTCGAGTGTACGCATAAAACAAGGGATCGACGCCATTGCCGGGCCTACGAATGCAAGGATACCCTAGAAGGTCGCATCCAAGGATGGACTTTGGGCGGGGTCGGATAATCCCAGGAATTGACTGAAAATTATGTGAAAATAGAAACAAGATTAAAGCTGACTCTGTAAGCTGTGGCAAAAAATATATATGCATTTTTCTAGCTAAATTTATGGGAATGTGCGAGAGTAAAAATAGGGAGAAAATCTTTTTTCAGGTATAGGAATTCTCCAGTACCTTGTAATAGATAAGAATTTACAAGTAATATGGAATGTCTAGGTAAATAATTCAATGAAATTCAAGGCTTTATTATTCATTGCATATTAAACAGAGAATTTAATTCAGAAATTGAAAGGAATGAAAATGAAATAACTTAAAGTAAACCTATATATTATGTTTCTATTAATAGCATTTTATGATTGTTTATATTTTCTATATTCTAAGCTACTTTAGTTATACATTTCCCATTGCTTAACACCGAAAATTGTATTCCAAGTTGATTTTAACTTTAACTTTAAACTCAATACAATATACCCACTTTTATTGCTCCCAGCTGGGCATTATTTACACCGCCCTTTTCCCTTCGACCAACAAACTTTCGTCAACATCAAATTCCCTGTTGATTTGAATTTAAATGTAATTTTTTCGTTCTACGTTTTAATTTTATTTTATTTTATAAATATTTTTTTGTGTAGTTGGCATATTTGCAAATATTTGCTGTCGTTGCTGTCGAGACAGCATGGCGTATGCTTAATATTTCGTTTTGACTTTTTTTTAGCTTGTTGAACATTATTTTTACTTATTTTTTTGTTTTGTTATCGTTTTGGTGCCGCTGCTACTGAAATTGAATTTGTCACTTTGGGCTTTTGGGTCTTCGGATTCGCTTAAATTGTCGCCACGGAAAATGGGGAAAGTGAATTGATATGCAAAATATTTCTGCACACATATGCAGCGGCGGATAAAAATGCACAGCGCTAATAAATTAAATGCAAATTGTCCGCGGGCCGCAGCTTAAACCCAAAACGGAATTTATTTGCTTAAATTGTGCAAGCTGAGAGGCGGGTGGAGGACGAAAGTGAATTGAATTGAAGTTACTTTGTGGTTGGCGAGGGGGAAAAGCTAAAAAAAAAAACTTGTGGCCAAAGTGGTTACAAATCAAATCAAAAGACCCGGCAAGATGAATGGCCAAAAGGGAAAGGGGGCAAGGCACCGGCAGCCGACCGAGTTATAAATTCATTTGGCCAACAAGAAACAGGAGCCAAGACAGCGAGAAAGCAGGAGCAGCCGTCTTACACCTTAAGAAATTATTTACCACATTTTTGTTGAGTAAATTATAGTGGTTTTTAAAATAATTTATGAAGGAATAAGAATTACTTTGATTTATATAAGTTCAAGGAAGTTTGTTAAGAGGTTCTTATATTTTTAAGGCTTCAAACATATATTAAAATGTTATTAACAATATAATTACATTTATTAAATAAACTAAAACAGTTTAAAGTAGTTTTAAGGAGTATATTTCTCCAAGTGCCTTTATGTTATCCCCGTCTCGTTACCGCCTTCTCTCATCTCCGTGCCTTTGTCTCTTCCACCAGGCTTGGCTGTTGCGGCTGCTTCCACCAGGCAACCGGATGACTCCGACTCCGACACCGCGGACGGGCCCACCCTGTCGACATTCCTGTCATCATCACCATTGCCATCCTCATCCTCATCCTCATCATCGTCATCGTCGTCGTCGTCGTCTTCGTCCTCGACATCTTCTTCATCATCGTTGTCGTTGTCCTCGTGGCCATCCTCGCAGTCATCATTTGCGGTGGCGAACGGACCACAAACGGATGCCACGAATCACACTTTCAAGAGTTTAGCCTTCCTGGACGCATCCTTTGGCTCCGATCTGTTTGCCCACACGGACACGGAACGGGAGCGGGACCAAGACATGGACCAGGACGCCTCGCAGTCGTTGCCAATTTTCGACTTTGGCATGCCGCGAAACATCACCGGACGCACTGGCCACACGGAGGCCATAATTAAATGCCGCGTGGACAGTCTCCATGATAAATCGGTGAGTCAGGGTCCACTTCCTTTGCTATTTTTTTGTTTTTCCCCCTCTTTATGGCCCGCTGAAGATGGGATGCGTGCCAAGGACATCGAGTGTATCATATGGATGTGCACTCGTTAATCAAATTTCTCTCTCTCTCTCGCTTTCTGCGGCTCCTCCGGCGTCTCTTCAACAGGTATCCTGGATACGGAAACGTGATCTGCATATCCTGACCGTCGGCACCGCCACCTACACCACGGACAAGCGATTCCAGGTGAGTCCTATCGCAATCATTGCGCCTCCCTCTCACGGGTTCCCTTGCTAATTGAATGTGATGGTTAAGTAAAGGCCTCACAGTGGGGACGTACAGATCCTGAAGGACATTCGCTGAGGGGGCGAAACTTTCCGAGGGAGAAAATGAAATGAATCCAGAACTGAGGGGAGTCTTAGTAAATTGAATGTGACCCCAGCAGAAGTCGGAAAGTCAAAGTTTGAGAATGTTAATAAAGCTACGACAAAGTGGATTTTGATACAAGATTGGTATAGATTTCTAGAGGAGTTTGTGGTTAATTTATTATTAAAGTAAAGATACATGAGTAAAAGGTATACAAGATTACTAATAGGGCTTGATGTTTGTATTTAAAGTCAAATACGTAACAAACATCTCTGGAAACCACAACCTTTGCCAACTTATTTCCCTATCAAACCTCCGTAAAGGCTAATGACCTGCCAATCTATCCCTATAAACCACATAAAATCCCCCAGATCCACTCACAGATTAGCCCGGGAAACAGAACAAATCCCGATAACTTTCGACCGAACATCGACCACAATTCCACACATTTCGCATTGGAAAGGGTCTGCATGTAAAAGTTAACATGAGCCCGGCTCTCGGGGGGAATTATGGCCATAAGGCCACTTTCATTATGCATGCATAAACGGTATTTCAGGGGCTAATCCAGCTCATAACTCAGGGCAAATCCACATCCACCTCACAGTTTCCCCACATTTTCTGTCCACTGTGCCCTGTTGCAGTTTGCAAACAAACAACGAGGCTGTCCAACTGAACAAACCAACCGAATGACCAACAAACAAACAAACATCCAATTGTATAATTGCTTAATTTCCATTAAAAAATAAAAGCAATTGAATGAAAATATATACAACATTTGCTGCATTGCAAATTGTTGCCTCAAAAGCGAATAATTATTCCGCCGAGACTGTGACATGCATGAATTCAAAATGAAATCTGTAAACTGTCACAGCGGTAAATTGAGACTGAAATTGTGTTCGTCCTTGGCAGGTGACAGAGTCGAAGGATTCCAGGGAGTGGACACTGCACGTAAAATCTCCGCAGGCGAAGGATACGGGCATCTACGAGTGCCAGGTCAATACAGAGCCCAAAATGTCGATGGCCTTTCAACTGAACATTATCGGTGAGTATCATATTCTGAGATGGTCTCCATGAATATATATATTTCACTACTTTTGTTTACCTTTTTAATTTAGAAATTGTCACAAAATATTCAGCGCTCCTGATGAATCAAGCACTTTGAGAGCTATTAATTCTTTTAGGATTTAAACAACCCAGGGAGAAAATCTTAATGATAAAGACAGAAATTTGTTTCATATACTTATGGAAAATTAGTTTCAATTCAAAAATTAAGTGAGATTAACTGTCTTTTGCTTTCAAATGTGACACGACGCAATACACTCCTCCCAATCAACCAAACTTATTTAATTTCGCCAATTTTTTGTTCTTATTTATTTTGTTTTTCCCGGCCAGTATTTACCTTGCCGCTGCTGCTGCTTCTGGGTTTATTAAAAATGTTAATTCAGTTTTGCAGCCAGCAGCTAGCAATTATGATTATTTCATCCGATCCCCTGGTTTCTTCTGCATTCCGGTTCGACCGCCTCTAGGCATACATTTTTAATTTCGCATTTCGGCCCATAAATAAATAAACAAATAAAATGCGACGAAGATGGAGGGAGGAGGTGACTGCTCCTGGGGTTTATTTTTCGCACGCTGGAGGACCTGGTCCTGGTCCTGGTTTTGGTCCTGGTTTCGGTTTCGGCCCTGCACGGTTGAGATTACATGTCGCCAGAGCGCTGAGTTAATTAGCATGTCAACCCAGCGGGATTAAGGGACCGATTGGAAATGTATTCAGCGCTTTAATGAGCCATGCATAATGCGTGTGTCCGCATATAATTAGCTGCCAGTGTGTCCTGTTTCCTGTGCTGTCCTGCCATCGAAAACAATGTCTTTTGTCTGCATTAGTGTCTCCGAAATCCACCGGTAATGATTAATTGATGATGGCCTGATTACAGAACGTCTTAATGGGCTGCAGGCACAGCCTGCCCTCCAGGAGAGATTGCAACGGAGGAAGCCTGAAAGTATCCTTTCTAATGAGATCATTAAAATTCCTTTTTTTGCGCATACGAAACTGAAAAGAAATTAGAAATAGTTTTTGCCACGGGAGAATAGGCACAGAATAATAGGATTTCACCATATATCCTTTGCTCGACAGTCCGAGAATAATTACATTTATATTGCTATAAATTTGGATACATTGTAATTGATATTCGTCGACTAAAAGGAAAACAAATTAAATTGGCCCCTCCCCAATAAATCCTTATCTAGGCCAGCATCCCATCTCTCATTTTTGGTATTTAATTTACCTGCACATAATGAAATTCCGTCGTAATCCAGATTGCCTCATTGCCTTCGCCGTTAATTCTTAATCTCAATCCGTTTAAAAAACAATCAATTCGGATATTGATTTTAATGGGTTTTCAAGGAACCCTCGCATTTAAGGCGATGCCATTAAGGCGACTTTAAATCACTGACTGGCCCGAGATAAGGCGACAAGTGTTGCGTCGAAAAAGAGCGGTGGATAAGAGGGGCTAATGGGTCTTTGGAGCGGCAATAAAAACCAAGGGAAGGGTAAGAGTAAGGCACTGACAAGTCCTGTCGACAACAGGATGGGCATCTGCTGTCAGCCACTTATGCAAATCAGTCGGCAATGCCATTTTAAGTTCTCGCTTATGCACTTGGGCGCGATGCGTTCCTGTCCGCCTGTCACAGCTTTATTTTCTTTCCCCATCCTGATTTCCTGCTCTGACGCGTACAAACGAATTTCCGATTACATTTTCTTCACGGACGTATGCATTTTAATTTACGTTAATGAAACAATTTCCAAAGGAGACGGGACAGGAGCATGACAGCCGTGGCGCGGACACTGACCAGTGCGGACAGGCCGGCAAACTGGCTACGTCCTTAATAACATTATCGGCATACGTGTCGTATGAGTGACTTTCGCAAGGAGCTCAACTCGCTCGCTCGCTCCTCCTTTGGAACCCCTTTGCGCTCGTCCTTTATTTATATTATGCCGCTGTTGCTTCTCCTTGGCCCGGCCGGTGCGTTGCAGTGCATTTAATTAATGTCATTATGTAAATTTATGCGCTCCACCCAAACGATTTTATTTTTCCCTCAACGTTACGCAGTTTTTCTCCTTTTTTTCTGGCAAAGAGATTTATGCCTGATATAAATTCAGCTTGGGGCGTTGTGTCCGCCATGCTTGGGCTGGGAAATATCCAAAATAAATATACATAAAGTATGCCCTAAGATGACAATTTAAAAGGTTGTATTTATGCACGCATTATTCTTGAAAAAAATATTTATACCATATTTCAGTTGCAATTAGTGCCATAATTGATTGTTTAATCCATGGGGGAAAAATATGAGGAAGAAAATTCACAGTTTTCATTCCACTAAAGATATATACAAAGTCGAAGAGTACAATATTTTTAAAAATATTTATTTAAATGTGGCGATTGCTTGTAGACAGATCAATGAGTTATTAAATACTGTTTTTAAAGTCCCATGATTCCCTTTTTTCTGCTCTGTTTTAAGTCTTAGTATTAACTTCTTATATCCTTTGTGGCCTTGAATCTGTGTATTTATTCTTTAATTTCCACAAAGCTTTTTAATTTCTGATTTCCAAATTAAACACATGAAAAGTACGTACTCCAAGTTAAATTGATCGTTAAATCCATTGAAAAGCATGCAGTGCTATTATTTCAGACTGTGGGCAAATATTTGTCAGTAGTTTTTTCCAATGCATTAAATTTTTTTCATAAAATTTCCACTGCATATGGTTTAATCCTCGCTTTTTCAGCGCATTGCCTCAAATCTCATCATTATGATTTTTTCTAGCATTTAATATGGATATAGCCTTGATTACATTTTCCCCGCCATTTCTAAGTGGTAATTACAACCATTTGACCTTAGGAAAATCCTGGGCCTATTTAACGTCTCTCTGGCCGCTGTTGTTGTTGCTTTGCGCATTGCATTTTATTTTCGTGAAATATTTAAATTAAAAAACTTCATGCGCCGCCACACAAAATGCACGCAGAACTTTAGCGACAGCTGCTGAAAAATGAAGGAAAAATGAAAAACTGAAATGAAAAATAGCTGGCTCTGGTCGCTCTCTCTCTCTTGCTCTTTGTCTGAGTCTGTCTCTTTTCTGGATTTTCCCTTGCCCTCGCTCTGCCGGGTGTTAATTGCCTTTAACGCAGTGACACTGCACAAACACTCTCGCAAAATGGGGGGACTGGCTAAAGGGGGATACCAATACACACGCACTTAATGGCGCAATGGGATTTTTTAACTCACACACACATTGAACATATGCCACAGACGCAAACAAACAGACGGAAAAAACACATCGAGTGTTAAGGGGAGGGACAGAGTAGGGCGAGAGAGAGAGAGCACGCGAGATCCTCGCAGACGCCTTAACCCCCTCACAGGATATCCCTGAGCATCCTGCGACCCATGTAATCATCATCATATGCACTTTTATGAGCAGCTCGCGGCCACAGTGGTTCGAAAAGAGCAAAATTTTTGGCAAATATCAAGTTACAGTTGCCAGTGTGGGAGCTGCGAAAAATATAGCATACTTAGCAGGGCAGGACATGCTTCTTTGGTTTATTAAAAAGCAGAACGTGTCAAAAGAATATTGATGTTAGGTACATGGGTTTTTTGGTCTCATTAGAGGGGTTAAATTCATTAAATTCTGTATTTTATTATTATTTATTTTAATAACCCTTATTTGCAATACCTTTTTTGCCTTAAGAAAGAAATAGATAATTCTTAGTCCTCAAAAATGTGGTGTATTCTCAGAAGAACGATAAAAATATCGTTCTCTGGGGAAACCTCAAAAATATCCTCCCAAATTTAAGCTTCTTAGGTAAACTTTTAATCCCCATTAAGATTCCCTCCTCAGCTTTAGTAATTTCAAAGTAAATGGCAACCCACAGTGCGGCAGTTGAATTTTTATTTCATTTCGCCACGGCATGTCTCCCGTTTTCGGGTATATTTTTAATTATTATTATTTGCACAGTCCAATGCATAATAAATATTATTATTAACCCAGTTTCACAGCCGCATGTGTGACTCTCCGTTCGGGCGTGTGCACATACACACAGTCATATCCATAAGTTTATTTACACACAGTTGTGTGTGTGTGTGTGTTGGCCATGTCTGGTGTGATTTTCTCACTACCTTCCACTCCGTACTTTTTTTCGGGCTTACTTAAATTTAGTGCAATTGAAAAGTTATTCCATAAAGTTTTATGATTAAAACTTTTTATGTGCATTCAGTTGGCTGCAAATTCGTTTTACGACCGATTGCCCCAAATTGATTTTGGTTATTCAACTTTTCCACCTAGAATGTGTGTTCTCGATTCATTTGTGGGCTTGTTACCTTTTTTTCTTCCGCAGAAATCTCGCCGGATGCCAAGGCGGTTATCAGTGGGCCCCACGATCTGCACTTCAAGGCGGGCAGTGCCATAATCCTCAACTGTCTGGTCCAACAGCCATCGGTGAAGGACATCGGTCCTATTTACTGGTATCGCGGCGAACATATGATCACACCCTTCGATGCGGACGATGACCAGCCGGAGGCTCCAGCTGGCAGACAGGAGACTACCGGCAAGGGTATCACCGAGGATATGTCACCCAATGATATCATGAGCGAGGTGGACTTGCAAAAGGAGTTTGCAACTCGGATCGCCATGGAATCGCAGCTGGGCGATACCCTGAAGTCCAGGTAAGTAACCCATCAGCCGTCAGCCTAATTGAGTTGTTTTTAGTATGCTTTATAATCCTCTACCGCAGACTCCGCATCTCGAATGCCCAGACCACGGACACAGGGAACTACACGTGTCAGCCCACGACGGCCAGCAGTGCCAGCGTCCTGGTTCATGTGATTAATGGTGAGTCCGGGGAGAGTCTGGATGAAGCTAGTGTGGCCTACACTGGAGGAAGAGAATGGATAAAGTTGTAGAAAAAATTTCACATTTCTAAAACATTTCTTTAAGGGTCTACAGTTACCTTTAAAATATTTAAAGCCACTTACAGATTTCCTTTCCAAATGTTCTGCTTTAGGACCATTAACTCTTTTCTTCGAGTGTCCCAAGTTTTTGACTTCCATCCCAGGTGCTGTCCTGTCCTGGCTCAATTCTAAGCCTATCACTTACACTGGCAGCCCGAAGTTAGTGTTCCAAAGGACACCCGAGTAGCAAAGCCAAGAGCCTTTGGTAGTCCTTTCCCGTGACAGTAATTTTTTGGCCAGGACTGTGTCCAGGCTCCATTCATTCACGGAAACGGCCTAAAAACTAAAAGTTCTGCCGCACTCTCACTCCATCATTCATCCGGTTGTTTGTTTGGGCGCCATTTCCCACTCCGCCGGGCCTCCTTGGCGTATGAGTAATGCGGCTGGAAGAGCACAACGCACAGACTTGGCTTTGCATATTTTACACATAAATTAGACGGGAATTAAGACATTTTAAGCTGCGAAATAAGGGGCATAAACTTGACGCGTCTTTTGTCCAGCAATTTCCACAGTTTTTTATGACCTTTTATGCCCAGGCCATTCGCAGCAAATTGAATCGCAAGTCGTTCCATTTGGTAGTCCTAGTTTTTATGCAGTATCAAACGTTAAGCGAAATGTCCAGCACTTAAGTTGTTAAGTTGTTTATTCAAATGAAATTGTTGTACGAACAGGAATTTGCATTTTAAAGAGCAACGGCCTGCTGTCGCTCTGCCACACCCAGCGAAGCCGTAATAAATATGATTAAATGTCAGGAGTAAGTTGCAAAAAGGCACTTAATCATGCCCCACATGTGGCAGTCCGGACGGACTGAAGTGGAGTGGAGTGGTGGGTGTGGGATCCCAGATAGTCCCAGCTCCCAGAGACTTTAGCTGTGACTGTGACTGCGACTGAGACTGTGACTGGTAGCATAAATACAGATAATAAATCAAAGGCAATAAAATTTTAAGAGAAATGATAAGAGCGGAATGACGGTCTTGTCTAGGCGTTACGGTGACTGGGAATATGCTCTAAGGGGAGTTTTGATCAAGTGTGTGAAATAGGGAATTATTTATATGCTTTTCCTCATTATTATTAATTGAATTTTGCCTGAAAACCTCAATTGAATTATAATATTTATTCATTATTTTCCTTTATTAATCAAAAGATTTAAGTAAATTTAATTTAAGTATGCAATTCAGAATTATGTTACTTCTTTAAGCCCACCCTTTTTTGGTGGCGATAAAAAATGATTTAACAGACATGGAAATCCAATTCCCCAACTTATTTATAGACCCCCAGAGATACCCTGCATTCGCGGAGCCTTCTCCACGCATTACTCATTTCTCCCGCCACCTCGTCCTTTTTCTGGCCTTAAAAATCAGTGCGCTGGAGGATGGGTATCCTTTGTGACGAGTCAAAACAAAGCATTGACAAATGATGCGCCTCGAATAACATTTGCTTGGGCGAAAAAGGCCGCAGAAATATTGCGTATACGCAGACACACATATGTCATTTATCTAGTCCGGGACAAACACGCGTGGCACCCATTCCGCCCTTAAACATAGCTCGGTTTCAAAGTTAGCACAGGGAGAAATATAGAGTTATTAAAGCATATATTATTAAAATATATATTCCCTTTTGGTATATATTCTTCAGTTTTTGAATGAACAAATCCTCTTCTACACACTTCTTATGTAGAGTGAACACATTCCCTATTTTATTTTAGCTTCTTAGTTCTCTTTTCTGTGTGGGTCACAATTAAATTAAGTTACTTGGCCTGGCATAGTTAATGACTCTGTGCTCGGCGAAATTTGAATACACATGTTCATTGTGCCCGCTGTTTGTCTTTCCCCGCAGATGAGAATCCCGCTGCCATGCAGAAGAGCGGAGCGATACGGTCCTCCCCTGGTCCACTTCAGCTGCTCCAGCTGATACTATGCTTGGGAATGGGAGCTGGAGTATTGGCTGTCAGCAACTGAGACCGAAAGTTGTCCCCAGCATCGCAGTTGTCCTCGTCCTCTACGTCGCCATCATCATCAGCACTGTTAGCATTGTAATTGCAGCAGAACAAGAAAATTATGTTCCATGACGTTGGCAGTTTTCCGTGCTGGCTGCTAGATGCTTTTTTAGAAGGCTGGTTGGTAAACTGGCAAAAGGAAAATGGTAAAGGCAAACAAGGCAGACGCTTTCCCTTTCAGGCGAATGTTTGTTTTCCTTTTAATATTTACATTTCATTGTGCGAAATGAGACACTGCAAAATGTAAAATGCAGAATGCAAAGGCCGGAGGATGGGGCATGGAGAGCAAGGACATGGGACGAACGACGAAGGACACAGGAGACGGGACATGGAACTGGGAAGGCGGAAAGCGGGATGACACTCTCTGTAAATACCACAAAGATGCGGAGCAGCTTACCGGATATATACATACATACATGCCATTCCGGATATTTACATATATAAAAGTGTGTATTTTATTTCATTACTGAGGCTCTCCTCCTGACAAAAGGAGCCTCCTTGCACGAATCACTTTATAAACATTTCATGCTGTCTTAACACAGAGAGCCAGGCTAACCAGAGGCGAAAACAAAAAAACTAAGGATAACATCCACACTCAGACACACACACACAGACCACGTAATACTAACCGAAAATTGTAATATATAATATATAAAGGCAGAACTCTCATCATCTGATAAACTAAAAGCAAAAACTTAATTATAAACACTAAGTTGTATGGAATTTATTTATGGGCAAAATGAAATTTAGTCACGCGGCACTCGGCAATGCAAAATTGAATGAAAATAAATGTAAAAGGCAGAAAGCGGAAATGCGGAAAAGCGGAAAAGCGTACTGCTAAATGAAATCAATGGCGGCATGCTCGACTAAGTTTGGTATTGCACATGAGTGTGTGTAGCGAGTATTACTATGGGTAGGCATGAATTTACTACACGTAAGCCAGTAAGCAGATTTTAGATAATTTATGTGATGACAAACCAAATGGATAAATCAATGGAATGAATTCTTTCAATAATAAACTGAAACGAAACTAAACAATGCATTCTTCATTCTGTGCAGACTCCTGTGGTTATGCTGCAAACTTTTAATTTCCTTGTTAAATGCGGTAAGTACTTAGTAAATCAACAGCTCCCCAGAGTTTTCAATTCAATTATTTGGCTGGAAAATGGAAAATGAGTGTAGATCTGACAGTCGCAGGGATACCAAGGATGCCAAATACACTCTTCATCATTATCATCATCATATGCAAATGAAGTAATCAAAGACATAATCAAAAAGCAAATAATGTGGCGCTGCTTAAATTGATATCTGTGGAAATGCAGTCGTGTCATTAAGCTTGTAAAGCGGATAATATTTACCAAATAAATGTTTATTATTTTATTGCTTTTTCAATTTATTTAAATGGTAAATAAAAGGCAGAAATATTGATAGTTTATGTAAGGGATTTCAAAAGAGTAATTAAGGCAGTTAAAGCTATTGTTGTAATCAATATTTAAAATATCTATTAAAGCCTTTAAATTGACTTTCATTTAAAGATTTCAGTTTATCATTTGATGTGTTTAGCTGGCAAATATTGATTGTTCTTTATACACTTGCAGAGTATAATACTTTCAGCCAGATGTTTGCAACATTAAGTAACTCTGAACAGTAAGTATTTTGAGCAGTAGTAACTCTGATCAGTAAGTATCAATGAACATTAAATAACTATGAGAAGTAAGTATCTATGACCAGTAAGTACCTATGATCAGTAATTATCTGATCATAGTATGTATGTATGATCAGCTGATAACATTGAACACTAATAAACAATGACTTGCAACTTTTGTAACACAACACATTTCTAAGACTTGGCCGGCAGAAGTCACTTCGTTCCTGGGATGTTAGAACCAGTTGGGAATCATATGTGAGAGATTTGTTTTGGAAAAAATTGAAGAGCAATCTATTTAATGAAAATATGGAGTTATTCGTCTATATAATTTTAGTAGCATATAAGTCGGACCATGGCAAATCGGTGAACTATATATATGTACATATATGTAAATGTAGTTGCCATAGGAACGATCGGACGATTTATAGAACTATGATCAGTAATTAACTATCATCAGTAATTAACTATGAGCAGTAAGTAACTAAGAATAGTAATTAACTCCGAATAGTAAGTATCAATGAACATTAAGTAACTCTAAACCGTAAGTATCTTTGACCACTAAAAAATTATGATCAGTAAGTATCTGGTCATAGTAAGTATGTATGATCAGCTAAAAACTTTGAACACTAGTAAACAATGACTTGCAACTTTTGTAACACAACACATTTCTGTGACTCGGCCGGCAGAAGTCACTTCGTTCCGGGGATGTTTGAACCAGTTGGGAATCATAAGCACAGATGAGTGGGATTTGTTTTGGAACAACTTTAAGATCAAGCTATGCAACTATGTAGATATTCTTCTATATAATTTTACTGGTATATATGTACGAGCAGTGCGAATCGGTGGACTATATAAATACATATATATAGCTGACATAGGAACGATCGGAAAATTTTAAGAAAAAAAATGCTAACTTTTCCAATACTCAACATATTTTCCTTAAATTTGATAAATAGCAATTATATATTAGTCTAGAATTTTGTGTAAAATTTTATGAAAATTGGACCACTATATCAAATAGCTGCTATACTAACGATCGTTTAAAATAAAGAAAATGTAAAAGTGTAAATATAAAATGTTTTTTAACCTAAATATAAATAATTTATATATGAATATTTATATAAACTTTGGCATGCCGAAGCTAGCTTCCTATCTTGTTTTTTTAAGTAAATAACAATCAATCCTAATTATTTCAACCGATTAAAAGCTAGCTAAGCATTTCCATAAGCTTTTATGTTGCTTTTAAGAACAAAATCTATATAAACCTGCGATAATTTCATAAGAAAAGCCATTTGCTGCAGCCTCAGCCGTCATAACAGTCTCGAATTTCAGAAATTATAATTGATATTTGCCCCTGCAAACAGAGAGAGAGCAAGAATATTGTGTTAACAAAAACATCTCCACGGTGCGGAGACCTCAAGATGGCGCCATAAAAACGCCATTACTGTCTTCGCCACACCCCCATCACCACCCATTCCCCTTCAACGGTACTGACCCAATTAATGTGCCCGTAGCCGCAAGTGTTTTTCATTAGTTGGAATCCTTAGGAAGACGAGATCATCGCAATATTTAAATGAAACAATTACGGCACGGACAGGCGGCACTTGTTGCTTAATTCACAGGCAATTTAATGTCCATTCGTTTGGGTGGTTTTAATTTAAACAAAACAAAACGGCGAAGGAACAAATTTCAAAGTATCTGCTGGCGCTGTGGCAAATCCAATCCGGGATATCAATCATACGCCGCATAGGCTTACAGAAACGTCTTCAGCAGTGTGATATATGAGCCGGTTGTGCTGAGTATCTGGGGAGTGAAGAGAGCGGAATGGAAACATAAACATTTATTATCATAATCAACGCATCGCACACAGTCCCCTACCGAACCGAAGGCTGCCAGTGAGGGCGTAAAAAACGGCACCGCAATTGTTTTTGCCCGCTGCGAACGCCGCAATATCATTAAAATCATTTTTCTAGTCCTTGCGTCGCATTTGTACCACTCGATGTCATACAGCACGTCCGCCACAGCACCGCTCTGCGAATGGAATTGGATCTGGTTCTGAATCTGTATCCGTATCTGTATCTTAATCTGAATCTGAATCTGTCGTCTGGCCGAGGCACAGAATCCCCGACCGATGCTCAGTCCTCTGCGCATTTGTTGTGTAATTAAAATTTTATCACAAGTGCAATTTGTGTATGGCACATCATTTTTTATGTGGCCGCCTGACTGCTTAATGTTTAGCGTTAAATTGAAATTACAGAAATTGCAAAAACGAAAGTAAGTACACGAGCAGCAAATGAAAATAAGCGAAGTGTAACCGAATGGTGGGATACTTTAGGAAACATTTAACGCATATTCCTAATATTAAAAAATATCTTTTGAGGGTATGTATACATTATCTTTATATAATTAGGATTGAGAAGGTTAAAGGTTTAGATACCTGTTTTAGATATTTTTACTAAATGCAAGTGTTAGATTTTATTTTTGTTGCTGAAAGTGTATGCAATCTTACCTTTCTTTAGATAATTTTGTGACCTAATAAACCTAGCTAAAATAAAAAAAATTTTCCCCAAATAAATAGTTAAGAAATTAATATATTTATAGCAATCACAAGTGATTTTGAATTATATAAAGCCAAAACAACCCCTTTATTAGAGTATCTTAAACCCAATGAATGATGGAAATGAAAATGGTTTGGTGCCACTGGAAAGAAAGTGGAAAAGTGCTTTGGCGGGAAAAGCGAGAAAAGCGGGAAAAGTGGGAGCAGTCTTACTCACACTCTCGCTGACGTGATTGCCGCCGAAGCAGTAGAGGAAAAGCTGCGTGAGGGCCGCGATGCTGTAGCAGATGTAGGTTAAGCCGCTCAGCGACGACGTGTTCTGCGAAAGGAGACAGAGAGCAGGGAAAATGAAAATAAAATAATATGAAAATGCAGGAGAATTAGATAAGAGACGATGCCATTAATTGGAGAGAAATTGCTTGTGGTGAAGAGAAAAACTGCAGGGGATTATTAAATACACTTTCCGCAGTAGTTTTGACCGAGTTTGAATTAGTTGCGAAATGCGAAAGCATCAAAGCAATGTTCTTTGGCAAATGGTCTTGGGCTAGTGTGGTCTCACTCTAATAGCTTTTCTTCTCTCTCTCTTTCTCTCTTTATTTTCCATTTTCCACTTGTCCGGCTTTCCATTTTGGCATTGAAAAAGAATTATGCGATTTATGCATGTCGCCGAGTGAATAAAACTGAAAGCACGCTCCATTTTACAAGACCCAAATAGGATTTGGCCACAAATTGTTTGCATTTGTTTTTCTCTTTTCTTTTTTTGACTTTCATTTGATTGCTTTAGTTTGTTTTTTTCCTATTTTCCTAATGTGCTAAATATAAGCTCAAGCCAAAAATGTAGTTCAAGGTTATTATTTGAGAAAATGGAATATGTTAAGTAACTAAGAGAAATGCAGAAAAAACACTTCTTAAGGAAATTATTTCCATTACAATAATCTGTTTATAGTTAAAAATTTGTTAGGATTACTTTCATATAAAACCAAAAGATCTGATTAAACTTGAACAAAAGTTTGAAGTCTTTATGAATATTGGAATGTGTGAGATGGTAAACTTTTTATTTATTTATAAATTGTATATCTTCCGCTTCAGGGACCTCCTTGTGGTCATATGTATGATTTTCACTTTCCCAGTTTTTCCCGGAAAAACGAAACGAAGAAAGTTAAAAAGTGATAATAGATCGCTGGCCTCGGGACACCCCAGCGATAAATAAGTTTCGAATGGGATAACTCAACACTTTGAGCCGCGTAAGGAGCGGCTGAGTCGCAGGAAGTGTCGGCATCGCTTATCCCATTGGAATTGGGCAGGAGAGAAACCCATCCGAACACTTTTGGAGCTCGGCAGTTGCAGCGTCAAACAGCTTATGGGTCTCCGGTGTCCGGGACACCGGAAAACGTGCGAAAGTCGCATTAAAAACTTTTTTCGGAGCCGTAACAATTCATGCGCTTATAAATTGCCACGAGAGAGCGGCAGCCGCAGTCGCAGCCACAAAGCAAACAAACAAATCGAGAAGGAGTCGAGGTCAGGGAAAGCCAGGTGGGGGGAGAAGGGTGGAGTGTGAAAAAACAGCAAACAGGAAAAACTTTTAAAGCGCGCCGGTGAATGCAGTCAAGGTGTAAGGTCAGAGGCGGCTACAGAATACTCTTTAAAGGGGTTCGGATTAATTTACTAACAGTATTATTGTAGATCTTACTTGGTTAGTACTTTAATTCCTGTATTTATTTTATTAAAAAGAGAAAATATTCCAGAAAAAATATCATATTTATAGATAAAGTATCATAGCCGTAGGCCTCCCCAAAAATATATTCTTTGCAAGCCCCTGAAGAGTGAAAAAAGGCTTACCAACATGATGTCCAGGATGGTCGAGCACAGGACGAAAGCGGCGGACAGGAAATGCATTAAAACGATAACGGTGAACTGGCGTGTTAGGTCCGTGCACAGATCGATAATCGCATTGTGCCGCTCCACGATGTGGGCCAGTTTTTGGCGCACCTCCGCATTCATTGCCTCCGTGAAAACGTCCACGGAATCTGACAGAGGGAGATAGGCCAAGAAAAGTCAGAGGAGCAAAACCCATTGTCATCTTTGCCAGAGTTACTCACCACCATGCAAATCGGCGAATATCCTGCGAATGTCCTGCTGCAGCAATCGGAAGACGCCGCAGATGTAGAGGCAGGAGCAAAGGAAGAAGCCATCCACGAAGCTGAATGCGAACACTGTGCAGGCGCCGGAAGCGGTCAGCAGCACGTAGGTGACCGGAAACAGAGATGGCTGAATGGCGAACGCCGGCAATCTGGTGACAAGGAGCATCGGGATATCGAGTGTTAAAATTAATATTCCATTGCCGAAACCCGCCGAGTGACCTAAGGGTGCCGGGAGTCCAAGTGGCGAACCATAATTAATGCATTTGCCATTCCTTGCAATTCATTAAGCAAATTGGTTAAAGATTTTCAGTAGAATAAAGACTACTTGACTGAGGACTTTAATTAACTTTATCGATTGAGTAAGAAAGGTTGCTTTGCTTTTTCGTTAAAGTATCTCGGATTACAGAACACTGAGTAAAGGATTTTTATGGAGGAATTAAATACAAAACGATGATTATATAATGATGATGATATAATCAATAGTTAATATGGGATATTGATGGAAAAGCCATAAATATATTACTAAACATTTTCAAGCTGCAAGGGTGTACGAGCTTCGGCTACACCGATTTTAGCTTCCATTCTTGTTGAAAAGTAATTTTAAACAATGCCTTAGGAGAAAGTCAAAGGAATAATATTAACACTTATTATAAGACTCTTATTGATATTTAATTAATACACAAATGCCTTATTTTCAATAAGAAAACATTCGGTAATGTAATTTCAAATAAGCCTTAAACTTAAAAGTATTAATGATGCGAAACTTTTCTCTGCCAAATAACTATTAATTTAAAAGTGATTGACCGATGCCTAAGGCATAGCTTAAAAATAAGTTAAGAAAATGTATACCTCCTCGACTGCATTGAAGCCAATTGGCCATATATTTTGCTCGTTTTACAACCTCTTCTCAAAGCTCAAGGGATAAATGAGCACTCGAATTTAAGGATATTCAAGTGAGCCGCAGGATATCCTACCCATCATACTCACATGATATTGAAGGGCAGTTCGATTTGCCCGGGCAGCTCAAAGAGCCAACGATAGAGGCCCATAATCAACGGTTGCAGGTTGAAGGCGGTGTTGGTCGCCGTGCCAGAGCTGAGGAGCAACAGGCTCAGCCTGCTGGCCGTGGTGGCCAGGGCGACCAGCATCCTTTGGCCCTCTTCGCGGCGAGCAGCCCACAACATTGATTGCAGGCGCTGGATGAGCACCGCCCACTGGCGGCTGGAGCGGAAGAAGACCCACAGCTTCAGCACACACACCGCCTTGGTGGTGCCGGGGCAGAAGGCCTCCAGAGCCACAACCAGGTCATCCAGGTCTACACAGCCATAGGAGACCTCGCCGACAGCCCCCACCAGAACCACCAGAAAGGCGAACACAAACAGGAGATGGGTGTACCACGGACCACTGCCCCTTCTCATCTCCGGCCAGATGCCAACGATTCTCGCCGAGAACCGAGGGATGCGGTAGAAGTGGCCAGCAATGGCAGGCTCCAGCTCCAGCTCCCCGCTGTCAATCATTCCGGCGATGAACTCAAGTGGATACTATCGATGGGGCTTCTGCCTTCTAGCCGCAAGTCGAGTGGTCAGCCGCTCCGGGCGAGTGTCGGGAGCAATGTTTTGGCCTGCTTTTTATAGTCACTCCGGGCCGCTAATTGCAGGGCAGGGAGCTGTGAGAATAGCACGGGGAAAAACTTCAAAATCCAGGAAATCAAGCGATTTTCTGCTCACAAAATCCTTAGTAATTTATACTGAAAGCTGAAGATCAAAAGTTAGACTTGAGCTATGACTGGATGCCAAATCAGAGTCATACATACACCAAAATAAATATAATATTGATCAACTTAGGTCGATAAGAAATTAATCTCTAAGATTAGTATATATATGTTTGCTTTACTTTGTGTAAAATATATCACAGCAAGTACAAGTTATATTTTTCATAGAATTTATAAATAAATAAATCAACTTTTCTTTCCCTGTAACCGTTGGCAAGTTCTTGCTTTGACTTTGGCAAAAGTTTTAATTGTTTTTGTGCTTACGTCTGCGCTTACACTTCCTCCTGGGCCCTACGACATCCTTGGCCATCAGTCAAGGTCCTGCTATTCCGTCTTACCTGACTTATAATTATAGAGCTCAGTTACAGTTGGAATATTCCATTCCATTCCATTGCTCAGAGGCGGCGCCGGCACTCCCATTGTTTGACATTCAATATTTTGTGTGTGTTGCACAACAAGAGCGACACACAAAGGCAACGAATACAAATTTAATTAATTGTTATGCGGCAAAACTTTCAATTTCTTCAGCTTCCCTCCTCGTCCACGTCCACTTCCGTTTCCTTTCGCTCGGGTTTCCCTTTGTTTTGGCTTTGTTTTTAATTGGGGTTACCTTTCCTCTCCGCCATTCGACTAAAAGTTGTTAATTGAGGGGTTCGTTGGCCCAAAGAAAAACAAACAAAGTGCTGTCGGTTGAAGGTGGAGTGGAGGTTTAACTAAAAATTTGTATCAAGTCTAAAAATCAATTTCCATCGAAGAGAATAACCGAATTTCATATAGAGTCGAAATTTGGGCAAAAGCAATCTATGGCTTTTAGTTGAATTTAGAAGGCAATCTTTTTACGGTTGGCTCACTAAGCCGGCTAAGAGAATTTCCATTTGCATGACCAAGTAAGCCACAGTGCCTGCCAATAGTTAACAGACCGGACCCAACCAAAGCAATTAAAAGCCTACACCCGTACCTGCCCACACACACACACAGAGAGACCATTTGATAGATGGACAATAATTGCATTTTATTTGGGGGGCCGCAACGAATAATATTTGACTGGCGCAGTGGCCGGGCATGGCGTTGAGGTTGTCCCATTAACTTGCAGTCCTCGTTACGGATTTGTCTTGCATAATGTTTGGAGTTGCCAGAGCTTTCCTCTCCCCTTCCTTCCTCCGGAATAGGATCCATCCAGTTGGCCGGCCGCCTGGTAAACCAAGCCAAATCCAGGGCTAGTCCTGTTACAGCAACTGTATCAACGCCTATCATCGATGGCCAGTAAGTGGAGCAGGCCACGCCCCCCAACACACACACACTCGTGCAGTGGCCCCCACTTTGATGCAGTTTATTTTGCCCAGTCTGTGTGACATATATCAACATGGAGCTGGCGCTTCTATAGCTTGTAGCATGTAGCACATTGCATATGCCCGCTCCACCTACATCAGCATATTCAATAAGCGGTTGGGCCCACACGGCGTATGCGCAACTCGGTGCCGCATAAGCGCACGTCAAGTGTTTGCCTGCGGCCACCTCAGCCTCCCCCCCATGGAGCCCTCGAGTCCCCCCTTTCCTGTGCGTGCTGCATTCAAGTGACCATAAAGCATTGCCTCGATGGTCAGGTCGTATCTGCCACTCCACCAGGAGAAATAATAGCTGGGAAATATTTCTAAAAATATCAGAAACTTAATAAATAATAGTCATAAATGACTTATATTTTATTTAAGCTATAGGTTATTTAATGTTATTTTTTGTGAGGCTTTAAATACTATATTTTTTCCAGTGAGCTAGCACATTTCCACCTTGGCCAGGCCCACACTGAGGCGATTATGTAATATGCAAATTGAAAGATTAAGCGGTAGGCATAAAGATTGAACAACAGAGCCGAGCAAAGGTGCTCCTTTGAAGGATACTCGCCCGGGGGGGCAGGCTTGACAAATTGATTTGCGTACCTTCAATCTTGGGGCGAGGCCAAGCCCCTGCCAAAAAAGAGGACCCATCTGACATCGAACAGGGTTGGGGTTGAGAGGGGGTTACTGAAGGGGTCTGCCCCTTCAGTGTTTTTGGGGCCTCGTGTTGTCTAGCCGCTTGTCGACTGTCACTCCAACTTGGGTGGACCCTCTTATTAGCCAGGCGTATAGAAATGCGAGCTTCATTTATTGCCACGACACGAGTACACCAATTTTCCATTAAAATTTCACCCCGTCCGCACTGAGTGTGTGTGTTTGTGTGTGACAATTGCATTTGCGCATTTCCATTTCCGTTTCCGCCATGGCTTCTGCTTCTGTAGCTGGCGTTTCTTTCGCCTTTTTGCCGGTTTGCTGCTTTTGGCAAGGCGACGGCCTTGGCCCAAAGTATTCTTCCCTCCCCCCCCCCCACAAACCTCTTTCATCGTAGTCGTTGCACCGCTAGGTTGCCATAAATTGCCAGCTGCATTCATTCATATCTGAGGCTGCTTCCTGCCCCGCAATGCATCATCGTCAGTGCGGGCATCATCATCATCGTTTGCGCCGCCGCCTTGAATTATGCGCCAATAAATTTGTTTGCTGAATTCCATCTAAATCGGATTTCCTCTCTCACTTCTCCAGAATTTAAATATACATATTTAATTATTTAGTGTGAATACGTTGGCTCTACGCTACCCACACGCCGCTCCCCGTGTGCATTCACCCTGGGAGATTGAATTAGCAAACAGGATGCAACTGCCGTGCAACAGGGCGTATGATTAACACTAAATGCGCTCCCTGTCAAAGTGCATAATTCCGATTGGCAATGCATCAGAGCAAGATGGAATGACTGTAAAGGGTGAGCGAGCATGGGAATCAAGTGAAGCTGCCGCTTTTATTGCCAGTGTGTTTATGGCCTGGCACATAATTTTGCTTATTTTTGCAATTAGCTGGAAAATTGATGCTACAAAATCAGAGTTCATTTGGCAGCGAGGGTGGTTTGCAAAAAAACTCGAAACTCTTGACATCAACAGAGAGTAATTTTATAATAAAGAAGAAGCAAAACTAATTCGATAAAGTTAAGTTATAATACCCTTGCATTTTGGAATAACATCATTAGGATCAAATATTTTCTGTGTTGGATTTTAGTATATGTTGGTCTATTAATTTAATTTGAAATGAGGAAATTAATTGGAAAATACATGCATAGCGTATTTAAGACCTAGGCCTTTTCACTCCTATGGCATCATCGTACATTATTTAATTATCATGATTAAGACTTACCGCTGTAAGGATATTGTTGAATTACTTCCAATGTAGAGGTATATATGTACTTGGTGACTTCAATTAGGCTCTTCTGATTATCCAGATTGTTATTCATTGGTCACGTAGTATGTTTAGCGTCGAAGCGCATTTACTAATCACTGTCACTAATCATTTTAGATGTAAACACTACGGATGCCGCGCACAGACTGATGGCAGCGGGACTGCAGTGCCTGTATTTATAGTCACCGAGCAAAGAGAATAGAGAAAGTGAGAGCGAGAGAGCGGGAGAACGGTAGAGAAAGCAATATCTCAAGAGGTAAGCAGAGTTAAAGAGAGTTACATAGAAAGAGATACACAGAGAGGGATGGACATACCGAAAAATAGGGAGGGAGGGTTTAAACTCATAGCTAAGCCATAAATGCGTTAATTTTAATTTAATTTCGTTTAATTTTAGAGAAAGCGGTATCTCAAGAGGTAAGCAGAGTTAGAGAGAGTTACAGAGAAAGAGATACACAGAGAGTGACGGACATACCGAAAAATAGAGAGAGAGAGGCTGTAAAATCGTAACTAAGCCATAAATGCCTTAATTTTAATTCGGAAAGCTTTCCTAAGTAAGTTTTTAGTAACTTAAACTACATACTCAATTAAGCTTTAATGACAGTTGAAATATTTTGCGATTTTTGGAAATTTTAACGATGTAACCCCTTAAAAAAAATGTTTATTCTGGAAAAATGTCAGAAAATTTATTTTTTAGCCGGACATAACTAGCTGATGATGCTGATAAAGAATATATGTATATGCTTTATAGGATCCGAAAAGACTTCTTCACAGCTTTACAAACTTCTGACTAAAATTAGAATACCCTACAAGGATATAGAAAGAGTAAAAATCTTATTGGCCAAAAGTAATATAGTAAAATCTACCCATAAACCATAATCTTCTGATTTAAATAATCATTCCCATATGCAGCAATCTATTTTCCATATCAATCAGCGATTTTCACGATCCATAAACAAATGAATGTGTAAGCGAAGCAGATTTAATGCGACCTGTCACATGATAAACAGCGTTGAAATTATGTTTATTAGGCATTGAAAAATGCATCGCAAATCTTCTATGCATAAGTGACACTTTCGAGCTGGTAAGGGTTATTTTTTATGTGGCCACGTAACTCAGGCCGGGGAACCTTTAGGTCGGAGGGACTGAATGGGTGGAACGTGTAAAAAACTACTAAAGCAACCCACGTGAAAGTTATAACTCGGCATTAAATGCGCAAAACCGAGCGTGGATATCGTGGCTATATGGATCCCAAACACACACAAACACACACACACTCCCATCTGTGGCAATAAAATGCAGTTGACTGCAAGGGGGCTTGGGTTGCCAGGGGGTGTGGCAGGTCCTGTGAAGATGAAACAGCAGCAACAACAAGGCGACGGGGGCAATGTGTTGCACATTTCGGTGGCAAAGTTGCACAAATGTGTGAAAATTGTACAACACAAACAAGCGAAAGGAAACAGGACCCCGGAGTCAGGAGCCTGGAGCATGGAGCACGGAGCACGAAGCGTGGAGCCTGAAGCCTGGAGCCTCCGTTTCCGGAGCTGGATGCCGAAACTTGCAGGACGAGTGTAAAATGCAATTGAAAAATGCCACAGTTTTGCATAAATCAGCAGGAAAGCGCCGAAAATGGCGCACAAACAAGCAGCAACAGCAGCACCAACAACAGACCCGAATCCGGCCATCCAACAATGGTGGAGCAGGAGCAGGAGAACCGAAGCAAAAGCAGGACCAGCAGGAGCAAGCAAACATGGCCGCATGCAACCCGTAAACATGGCCAACATGTCGGCACTGGGAAAAGTCGGAAAAGCGGGAGAGGGAGGGGGAGGGAGGTTGAGCTGGAGCGGCGTCGCCGCAGATATAATTTACTGATAATGCAATTGCCGTTCGAGCAACGCACGCGCCACCTGCTGCAGCATCGTATCGTCCTGCCTATTTCCTCCACCCTTCAGCCTGTGTCCTTCGTCCCTTCCACTGTGGCAGTGGCAGGGGCTGTTGCACGCCTGGCTAAGCAAGCAAACTTCCTAGAGCCGAAAAGCGCTGAAATGCGCAGAAAAAAATTGAGTAATAACAATAACGTCCACCACAACGAAGGTTAAATGCTCTGCCCCTAGGGGCATAAAAGCCATTTAAATTGTTAAAAACTGAGAGAGAGAGATTTGAAATAGTAATGCAATTCAAGGTTTAAAAACTTATATAAAGAATTTTATATTACTAAACTCATTTTCTTATCTTGAAGATGTTTTCATGTCAACTGTAGAACAGATTTTATTAAATGTTAGAAATACTAAAACTATAACTAAACTTTAATATTCCGCAAGTTGTTCAATATATAGAAATCCTACTTTTTATGTAGTAACGATATATAGATGTAAACCAGCTCCTAATAAGTAGCTCTACAAATGAAAGTTATCTGTATAGAAAGTAATGAAAGTAATCTTTATAATCTGTACTTTCCTTTTTCAATCAATAATCGCTTCTTCAGTAATACAATATTATCCAGAATCGAATTGTTTTTGGTATTAAATGGTCTTCCTGTGCGGCTGAACTCATTACGGGGATGCTCGCTTGCAGGATATCTCCCCAATGTCCCAGCGGCTGAGCGGAAGAGCAACTGTCAAATATAGCGAACGCTGCACAAACTGCATAAATATTGCAATCGCATGACTCGACATTGGCTGGGAACGGTGGACGTGGACTTGGTCACGCTGCAGTTGACATTTTTTTTTTCTCATGGCTTCCCCTTGTCCGAGAATCCGTCCCGGATAGAAGTCCATGGCAGCTAGTCCATGGGCAACATAGAAAACAGTTCAGTCAGCGAGTCATCCCGTGGTTTCCACCGCTTCGCATACAAATTTCATTCGCTTCCGCGTTGCGCGATTTCAAATTTAAGCTGGACTTCCCCTTCAACTTAAAGCGGGGAATCCCCGTTGGCAGCTTGAAATTAAACAGAAAACAACAACCATCGTTACTTTCCATTAGTGTCAAGGAGGAAGGCAATGGTGGATGCAAAGGATACCGAATGCCGTAGAAAAAAAAGAAGTGAAACAGTGCCTTTTGATTTTCCGCGATTCCCTCTTCACACAGCGAAATTGGCGCTATCGTTTTGCTCTTATTTTGTCGAGTGAATTTTCCTTTGTTTGTTTGACAATCGAACCAGTTCGAAAGTTTCCGTATGAACGCCAGGGTTAAGTACAGTAAAGGATCGCTAATTATCTCCAGACTAGATTGCTGTGTTTTCCTTACTTAAAGTTAAGTTAAATTCTTTAAACAAAGGCAGGAATTTAAGAGCTGTATAAGAAGCAAGTCAAATTTATAAATAAACACCTGCCGCTTCCGGAGCTTCCACTGTTTATGAACGTAACGACACTTTCCACTTTCCATTTACTCAGAAGTTCTCTTTTCGGCTAATTAACTCAATTGCAGCTCGCCAGGCTCCGCAATTCTTCATTAGCTCCAAGTCAAAGTTTACGATATGCGATTATTTCACTCCAGTGATGCTGGCGCCTGTCGGAGAGGATGCTGCTCCTTTTGTGAGTGACTGACTTGACTGTCTTGACGGACTGACTGGCTGGCTCCTTCCTTCTCGGCTGCCTGCCAAGGTGAGTGTTTGTTTTATAAAGGAAAATAATGTACAAGCCTGGCGCATCAGGCATCATTCCCCACCCAACCACTCCCCCACCACAGACCATAATTGTTTTTAGCCGAAGAGTTGGGAGCAAGTTTTAAAGGTGAGCTCGGGTATTCTCAGTTCCAAAGTACGGGAGCGGGTTATGACACACGTTGCGGAGCAGATAACTATTTCCGAGCCTGAACTAACTACTATATGGAGCATAATCTTGGCATTTGGACCACATTTACCCTGGCATCATCCTTACGTATTTCTGCACTTACGCCGTGAGCGTGTGTTGTTTTTTTTTAATTTGCGCAAAATTCTAGGCTGTTGTGTTGTTTTTGGCTGGGAATTTACATACATTCGAAATTTTGGAATTGTTTGCCGTAGGAATTCGCATTTCCATTAGACTAATTCATGTATTTTATAGCACCTCCCTGCCTGCTGCCGGGATTTGCAGCGGCGGACTTAAAGCATTTTGTTGCACAGAGAAATAATTTATGCACTCTGTTCACTGTTTAATTGCACAGAGCAAGAGCCAGAGCCCAGCCATGTCCATGTCCATGTGCATGCGGTTATAGTTTCCAAGTTTTGCCTCTGACGCTGGCTGCCATCTCTCTTCCAGCTGAGTAATAAGATTATTAGTTCCACTCCGGGGCACAAACACAAACGCATTATAAATCTAGCCCCGCGGCCCTCTCCGTCCGCCCGCCCACTACGACTCGCCCTCGTTATGCGATGTCCTTGCTGCAGAAACTCTAAATTAATGCCAATCCACAAGTCTTCCACAAATATGCAACAGGAAAGTCTAACCGCCGTATACTTGTTACTCTTTACAGCCAGAAAATGCCTCTAGTTGAACTATAAATTTACCTGATTTTGCGTAGCATTCGATTAAGATTTGATATAAATATTGCCTTAGTTAGTTTGAATTCAACAAAATAAATAAATAAATAAACTTTAAATTTATGAGCATCATGATTTCACATGAGCTTCAAGATAACAAATTTCATTGTTTTTCAATAAATTCACTTATTTCTTCATTAGGAAAAATATTTTTAGGAAATGTATCATTGAATATATTGCCTTTACAGAAATGAGGTAGCATACGCTTAGTTATTTATTACAATTGCACAGAATTTAATAATGAGCTGATGAGTTAAGTTTCTTTTGACATTTGCCAGCTTTCTCGGGATTAAAATGTGTTAATTTTTCAAGGTTCAGGGGCTCAACTCTGCCGCTATTCTCTTTGAGTTAGTGTAGTGCAAGCTGTCGATGACTCATTCAAATGTCAATTACACGAACTTAAATCCAGAGGCCAGGAAATTGTCGAGGCTTCCAGTTGATAAATTCAATTAAATAAATCTGTGAAACTCGAGGAGGAATTACAGAGCCAGCAGCTTAATAGGCGGGCTCATTGTGTAACTTACGTAACACGCAAATATTTGCTTAAATTAACTTGAACTTTATGGGCTCTAATGAGGGGTGTGGTTGTTTTCCCCCAAAGGAAGCCTGTAGGTCGATGATATGTGTTTAACTGGCAAAGATATAGGTAATACCCTTCTTTCCTTTAGCCGCTCTATAACCTCTTCAACCTCCGCCAGAGTGGAATTCGAGGACAACTGCAGGGACATTCCATGGCTGCTCTCTGAAGTAAGCGAATATTCGTAATCCCGTATGTGCACGTTGAAGGCTTCGATGCTCTCATTTTGCTCCTTTTGACAACGCTTTAATTTAAGCTGGCTGAGCTTCAGGCGTTCCGAAAATTCCTGGAGACGCAGCCGAAGAAGCTGCAGCTCGTGCGATAGCTCCTCCCGTTGATCCAGCATTGTTTCGTAATCCTGAATGCTGCAGGATTGATTCCTAACATGCTCCTTTAGCTCCCTTAGTCGCTGACCCTTGGAGAGGTTTTTCATGTAAAGATTTGCAAGCTCCTGCAACTTTTCAGCGGATTCGGAGGTTGATAACTTAATCTCCGCCAGGCAGTTGGCTAGCTCCTCTTGAAGACGCTGCTTCTCAAGTTTCAGAGAATGCAATTCCGAACCCAGGTCAGGGTCTTGAGGCCGTAGCTTTAGATTTTCAGACTCTTGTTGTAGGCTGATTATGTCAGACGAAGTGCAAGATTCTTCCATCTTTTGTTCTTTGAACTCTTGGCCGGAGCGAAATGCCCTGGCAGCCTGCTCTAAAATTTGCTTCTCATTTGGAACAATGGTGAATACGCATAAATTGTCTTTCTCCTCGTCGTGAGCGAAATCTAACAAGAAACGGAGTATTTCCAACACATGGCTCATGGCTTTTTGGCTTTTTGGCATCCGCAGCCAGGTTTTGTTCACCTCTCGGGGAAACTGGAGCTGCTGCAGTGCCTCCATCATCTGGCTTACATAGGAGTCTTTACTCAGATGCGAACATTCTGCACCAGTGGAGGGCAGACAAAGGTTTACAAAATCTACGATGAACTGCCTTACCTGTGGCTCGGTCATTCTCTGCCACTCCTCCGTAATCCTCTCCAGCTTCTGCCGCAACGCATCCTTCTGATGGAATAGGTTGCGCTTTGTGTTGGCCAGTTTCGACGGCGGTTTCTTGCTGGCTGTGGATGTGAGGCAGGCCTTGGGATCCTTAGGGTATGAGAATCCAATCGAGGGCACCAAAAGCCGACTCGCAGTGAAACTAGATGCGGGCACCGCCGCCTTTGTTCGTTTTGGTTCAATTTTGGACGCTGATGCCGAGCGGCTGGTTATGCCTGCCTGGCGCTGCCGCTCGAGAATTTCCTTTGTGCGAAGCGGGCGAGCCTCCCAGCCGGGTTCTAGGAAACGAGGACAATTGCTGAAATGTTACGAAAGTTATCACAAAGTCCTTGCGGCGTGTCCAATGGCTTACCTTATTTCTGGTGTTTTTGGCTCTTGGGGGGTTAGAGACTCACTGCTTGAAGGCAGTTTAGAAGCAGATGCTGATCGGCACTGGGATGTCTCCAGACGATTTTTTGGTTCTTTGGGTCGTTCCAAGCGAATCTCCGAAAGTGAAGTAGTAGAAGGAGGTCTACTTTGACATTTGCGATTAATGTTTATTTACATATTTATATTAATATATGATTTTAACACACCTGTTCTCTGGGGTTTTCAGTAGTTCACCGCGATACTGATTACGTGCAGGTGAGGATAGTATTTGATAGTATGCTAATTTGGCGGCTGAGGCATCGCGTTGCCTGGATCTTTGTTGCTCCAAGAACTCTTTGGTTCTTAAAGGTAAACCTATGTCCGGGGCGCTACTCAGTTTTAATAGAAAAATGGTAAGAAAAAAGTAGTAATTAAAGACTTCGTTATATTTACCTCGTCGGTGGAGTTGTTGGCCTTTCCCAGGTCCGCTCCCTGTTTTCAGGTGTTAGCCAATTCTTTTTCGGAGGTATGTTTGAGGCTGATCTTGATCCCTCCAGCAATTCCTTAGGGCGTTCCAAGCGATACTCCGGTTGGATAACGATATTAGACGGACTCCTATAGCATTAGACGATGAACCAAAGAACGTGTTACAAATTATAGGAAAATATGATTTATTAAAGAGATTACGTACCGCATCTCGAAGGTTTTGAACGGAGGCCCACATTTCTGTCGCCTTTCAATACGATTTCCGCATCTCTCCATTTCCAGCAATTTTTTGCGGCGCAAAGGACGGGGCTCCAACACGTCGTTGACCATCGCGGGATTTCTTATTAACGGCACGTAAGTTAAGAACAGGCTGTAGAGAACATAGTATAACTCACCCCATATTGGGCATTTCACTCATCTCAAAATTATTTTATAAGTTGTTTTCCGAGACTTGTTTACAATTTTCAATATTTTACCGCACAACAACAACTACGAGATCACCTAAGTGAATGGTATTCCCTGTGAATGGCGTTGATAAACTATGGGCATATTACGATCGATCGCAAAAATACGAGATGTGGCAGCACTTATGGACCCATTTAAAACTCAATCTCAAATTTAGAGAATTGTAAAAATTTTAAATATAATTTATGGGTCAGAAAAGGACTGAAAAATTCAAATGTAAGTTTATCACTATAGCGGAGCAAGCGAACGATCTTTCATAATGTGAATGGCTTGAAGGTAATGGGCAGCACTGGTCGCAAAAGAAAAAAGATGTGGCAGCTCCAATTTACCGATTTACGATTCAAATTGAATTTTAAAATTTAGGGAATGCATTGTTAAAATATTGTTGATTACAACTTCTTACCCGTAGACTTTCACTATCTAATAAATGGAGAATAAAAACAGACAATCTCCAGCAATTAATGCCAGCACTCCACCACTGAACATTTATTAACTTTAAAAACGCCTTCCATTGCAATGTGTGGTGGTGAGTCGGGAATGCATACATAAATCATGGATGAAAGTGAAAATTGGTTGCACCTACCACGGGCTCAGGTTTGGACCCGTGCTCCCAGGTGGGCGCCGAAAGGTCCTGCCTCCGCCGACCCGTGACACCGCCCATTTGGGGCGTAATTACGGGACAATATACACGCGCCGGAAATGGAGCCAGCAGGTAGCAACGAGAACGTGGAGCCTGAAGGCAGGGATTGGGAACCAGCGGGCTGCAGCGACCAATCCCCCACGAGGAGGACGAAGGTGTTACTCTTGGGCTGCAGTGAATACATTGTAAAAATAAATTAATATATAAATAAGTGAAGGAATTAAATATTATGTTTGCTATATTTGCATTTACAATGGTAACTTTTTTAATACCAAGGGGAATTGGGTACCGGTAAGAATTACTTGGCTGCTGTTAATATTATGTTATATATACAATATTATGTTATATATGTATATATATTTTATTAAAACTATATTAAGATAGAAAAATTGATCGTTTACAAAGATTTAAAAAAAATTCAAATTTGTATTTATACACATTTTTAATAAAGTTCCTATTTTAACATATAATAATTGGTAGCCAAAACATATTAGAGTGTACTCCGCCACTTTGCCGTTGGCTCATATACCTGCTTTTTTGTTGTTTTTTGACTGCTGCGCTTTTGCAATTTAACCGCAATAAATAATAGAGAAGTTGTTAAATTTGAGCGCACGCAGAGAGCAGGAAATGCTGGAAAAATGTAGGTTAGACATCTGATGATAATGATGATGCTATCATCGGTAAATTGTGGCCGTATGGATAACTAGTAACTACTTCTCCGGCTGACCAAAACGAGACTCGTCGACGCTTCTGGCGTGAAAATGTTATTTGTACATATTTGATATACATTTTAATTGCGAGCCATGAAAAATGCAGGCTCTGGCCAAAAACGCGCTTAAAATAATTAAATTTATTGCCGCATCAGCGATTTGGCAGCTGACTAAGCGAAAACCAACCGCATTGTCGACACAGTCAAGTAATTCGGGGTACAAGAGCATGTATCACTAAATAATTTTGCATTTATTTCATATAATACAGTACACATTGCATTAAACTAAATAAAATCTATTTAATATATAATATATATTTAATATGTAATCGTACACAATCATCAACCCTATATACGCCGCTCTCCCTATCCTCCGATTTGTCTTAGTCTGCATATATAGCATATATGTGGTATCTGATGCATCGCTGCTACCTCTTCGATTTGTTAACAACAATTATTGCTATTTGAATTTATTATTGATTCAAGTGTATCATTTTGTTTTATCTGTTTAAAACCTAACATCATATTTTGTTTGTTTTGCGGTGTTTCAAGTTCTCACAGGATATTGCCTGTGTCTGTGTTCGTGTGTTAGTTAAAATATATAGTTTCCATTTAAATTTGTTGTGTATACGAGACAAACAATTGAACAGTTTAAAACAGTTTGCTAGTAAACCAAGCCCAGTTCGTTAACAATTTGAATTCGGTCGAGTAAACTATTTACATGGGAGCATATGCGTATAAATATAAATATAAATTCACCAATAAAGTGGTTTAAAAACATTGCAAGCCCAGAGCTCGTTGTACAATTGAACTAGAAGCAATCAGAGTGCAATCTTATGGCAAAACTTAACATTTGGTTGCGATTGCGGTGAGCGAGCCAAAACGGAGGGATGCATGCCTACAAATTGATTTTGTATACGAAACTATTCCTTGAATAAATCGCCATACCGACAATGTTCTTAAAGTTGGGAATGTTTATGAAACTTTTCAGTGAATTTTTGAGAAGAATTATGGTTAAAGAATCTACAAAGACATACAAATTACAACTGACAAATTACGAAGGGGGGTGACAAAAATAAAACACTTTGATAAAAGTTAGCTTTTTCCCTTTGCACTACATTCACAAACATTAAATGAAAATCATAAAGTGGGTTTAAACGTTCGAAAGTCTCTCAGAGATCCACATATTGGGAACTATTGGTAAGAACTTCGATAATAAATGGCCAACTGTCACTTGCAAGAGCTCTGATATAAAGTAAACACTACATTTGATATGACGGCGCTAAACTTAATCAAGGCCTAGTTGTACGTACACACAGTTTAGGTGGTATAGCGAACATAGGAATACAGACAGATATAGGTGTGTGTGTGTGTTTTGTGTACACGTAGTAAGTAATTTATATACGTATTTTATAATAATAATAACAGTAACTATTTAACGCAACATATGGTCGACGAATGGGGGAAATGGAAAATGGGGTAAGGGGGCACGGGGTTACGGGGACACGGGACGGTAACGCAGGCGCTCAACTGGAATTAAACATTAATCAACAAACCGACCACAAATCGACTGCCACTCATTCCTGGCAGAAGCCCTCAGTCTCCTCGATGGCAAAGGTTAGCTTCTCCACCAGCTGATCGTAACTCTTGTACGGCGGCAGGTCCAGCCGATTGAAGCAGGTATGCGAGCGCGGCAGCCACGTCTCCTTGCCCACCTTTTCGATGCAGAAGCGTTGCGGCCCGTTGGAGCCCATCAGCTCGGCGAATCCGCCTACCGGCACGCGACACGTTCCTGTGACAAACTGCAACAGGCGGGCCCGTTTCTCGTTATCCGTTTCGCGTACAAACTAGGTAAGTAATAAATTTTGAATTTAGAGGACATAAAACTGATAGTTTAAGAATAAAACCAACCTGCCAGAACCAAACAACCTGCTTTGAGTTTCGATTGTAGTGCCTGTAGATAGTGTTGCGCTGCCAGTCCTCTACGTCCACGTCCTGCATGCCGCACAGAATCAGCTCCAGCTCACGCTCATCAAAGTACTTGAGCCACTCCAGGGGTACCACCTCATTGAAGCCCTCCAGAAACGTCTTGGTTTGTTGCTCAATGCCACTGAAATAATCATATTAAATCTGCTGTTGGAAATAAGAGTGCTTTTTGCTACTTACCGAGTCATTCGCCACTCGGTCATCAGAGTGATGTATTCCTCCTTGTTCTCTTCCGTCACGCGCTCCTTCTCGCCGTTTTCCTTCAGCTCGTGGTGGATGATCTGACCAAGCACTTCAAAGTCGACACTGAACCACAGCTCCAGGCCGCACTCATCGATATTGTTGTCCTTCACCCATATGAGGGAGTTGTAAAACTCCGGGTCAATCGTCTCGATGTCCTTAATGGTCAGCTTTTTGTTCAGCATGCGCTTGTAGAAGGGCATGGTGAATCCACTGTAGATGAACCTGCCATGGTACAGAGCCATCGCGATGAAGCGTCCGATGAACTTGAAGTACTGCAGGTGATCGGGATTCACGTAGGAGGCGGGATTTATCTGCAGGCTGTAGTTGTTCTTGTTCGCGTACTCAAACAAGCAGTACATGGGATTCAGGACCTCGTGGGAGAGCAGGAAGAACCACTCACGCGACACACCGCCATAATCCAGGCCCTCCTCGCCGCGGAAAATGATATAGAGGCGCCTCCGCAGTTCATAGGCGGGCAGTCGCATGATCTGGTGGTAGGAGTCCTCGAACAACGTTTGACGCGTAACCGTGATCTTGATGTGCGACGGCAAAGCGTTGCTCTGGCACAGATACCGGAACTGCGACAGCTTCCAGCGGAAACTGCGCTCATAGGCACGCGGCACGCCATAGACACCCTTTGCTCCCTTGGGTGCTCCAGGCCGTGGATCCTCAAAGGTGGTTCGACGCGTATTGTGATCCACAAAGAAGCGCTCACCGGCGGCTGTGTAACGGATTTCCCAGCCAGGCGGCAGAGGTCCCTCGTTGATCAAACTTACCTCCTGACCCTGGGTGCGCGGATCCTCCCACTGCGTAGTTCGATTCTTGTGGTTCACGAAGTAAACCCTGTTGTCCGACTGGATCTGTACACAGGAAAAGTCGCATTAGAAAGGTATTTTCTTGAAAAATAGGCGATTAGGCTTACCTTCTTCTCCCAGCCATCGGGCAGCGGACCCAGTGCATCCTCATCGTCCTGCGTGACCTGGGCGGTCACTGCCGTTGGCTGCTGTTGCTGCTGGGAATATAGATACCGCTGATTTCCCTGAGACACCACATGTGCCCTCTGGCCCTGCCAGTGCTGGAAGTGCATTAGACGCTCGCTGTTTGGCCGCTGCCAGGTGGTCTTCCTGGTGTTGTGATCCACATAGTAAACACGGCCCCGTCCATCCTTCCTTATCTCCCAGCCAGGAGGCAGCGGTGTCGGCTTTTCCCAGTAGGTGGAACGCGTGTTGTGATCTACGTAGTACCGCCGGCCATACTGATCCAGACGAATCTCCCAGCCAGCGGGCAGTGGCTCATCGTCCGCCGGTTGAGGCTGCAATTGCGGATCCGTGCTTTGGCTCACCGGCAGTCCTCCTACAGGCTGCTCCATTGGAGGTCCGGCCACTCCGGCTCCTGCCACAGCCGGTCCTCCGGCTGGCAAATAAACCGCAGCCGGCGTGCTGTTCTCCGGTAGCGCTCCATAGACTTGAGTTAGAGGACGTGCAAGTGCAGGAGCTGGCGGCTGTTGGGGATACGATGCTGTCTGTGGCACCGCCGCCGCAGCACTGCCATTAACCATTCTCAGGGGCTGTGGCTGAGCCGGCGATTGCTGCTGTTCCCACACAGGGGGATCTGGAGCATTTCTTCTGGGAACCGTGCCTCCATTAGCTAAGGGCGAGCGGTTCTCTCCGCCATTACTATTCACGCCGCTCGAATGGAGTCGCATCCGTGCTCGCACTCCTCCGTAAATCATGCAGCTCCGACCGGCGGCCGCATCGCTGACCATTGCCGGATTGACCGCTTGGACGGGTGGATTGCCATTCTGTTGGACCGCCGCTCCCTGGATTTGCAGCTTGCTCATGTCTAGTTTAAGGCCATTGAGTATGGCCACTAGCTCACCGCTCTTCGTCTGCCGGTTATCCGACTTGCTGGTGACGAACAGATCAATGGTCAGTTCGAGGAACTCGCAGCGCCCATTGTAGTGCTGCAGGATGTGTGCCAGGTTGATGCTACGTTCACCCAGCATGGCATCTTTGCGGAAACTGGAATGATCCAGCACCTTGAAGTGTAGCGTGGAGTTCGGCGTGATCTAAATGAGCAATACCAATGGATTAAGTTTTGATTAAGTAAAATTTTAATTGTTTTTCCACTTACCAGCACTGTAAACTCCTCGTTCCACTTGGGCAGATAGCTGTTCTTAACCAGGTCCGTCTTTCGCTTGCTCTTGTTGTCGATCAAAAGTTCCACATAGGGATTCGGCTTCAGGAAGCCATTGTTTCGCAGAGAAGCCTCCTCGACTGCAACGGATTTTGTGAGATAATTAATTGTACATTTCGTTCCTTTTGTTTTGTGCTGTGTTTGCTTACTTGTCACGCTTAATTGATAGTATCCTTGATTGGCACTCCCACTGGCCCCCGACACCGAACCCGAGCCCGAACCGACATTTGAGGTGGGATTGGGGCTGGAAGACGTCGTGGGTCCATTTACTGTTTGTCCGCCGACCTCCATGCCGCCGGAAGCTGCTGCACCCGCTGGCAGCCCATTTCCATCGGCCATTTAGGGGCTGTATGTGTGGTCCGTCTCCTCCACCTGCTACTGCCGTTTGTTGAGTGACCTTCACCGCCTCGGGGAGCAGTCGCTCTTAAAGAGAAAGCGAATATTAAACAGGGTGTATTGGGACTGGAAAGTATCGAATGAGAAATTGCGTGTGCGGGAGCTGATAAGATAAGACCGGAACCCTCCCCAAACAGTGACTCTCCTCGTCACGTAAATGTACTTTCCATATTAATATACAAAGCTATGTACATTTTAAAAAGTTCACTAAATCAAATTAATTTTAACATGTGCAAATTAGTTACCGAGTGTACTTTAGGTTAAAACACAAAGTTATACTTGCAGTTCCCTTTGACAATTTTAAGACCTAATCTTGGAAGCAAGATAATAAAGCAGCTCTATATCATTATGAAAGCGACTAGCCGCAGATAAGATATAGGCTATATGTAGTATATAGTGTAAACGGCATTAAGGCAACAAAACTGTTAACAAATGTTATTTTTTTGTTCGTCGAAACCAAAGGTAGCAACTGTTTTTCAGGCTTAAATTTAGTTAATTTCGTGGCTATGACTATGATTTTCAGCCACATAATATGTAGATTTGGGACCAATAACAAAAATAATTATAGATTAATTATATATTAAAATAAATAGAATAAATATATTAGAATAAAATATAAACTGGAATTCATTTTAAACATGTGGCTTTTTGCCAATATGCTAATATATGCTAGTCCTAGATCTCAACTTAATTCTTTTAAAATAAACAAAGTGAGTATGAGTAAAGGAGAGTAATAAACCAAATAAAGTGTACTGATACAAAATTCAAGATAATATAACATTTTAATTTAGCTAAGACTCATTTATGGGCCAGGGGATTTTTGTTTAATTTATGGAAGGAAGTATGTATATTAAACTGTTCTTTACTACTTTCACCGATTAAGATTTTGCCTTAATTTCCTGATCAGTGAATCAATAACACTATCGCTGCGTTATGTTTCTGGGGAAGCACTGTTTTCCGTGTTATTAATTTTCGCCATAATTCGCGGCTCTCTGTACATTTTTTGTACAATTTCCCCGCCGATTGCTGGTCATCTATAATTTTGATAGCAAACACCCAGACTAATGCATACACAATAGATTGTATAATAATACTATGTGGCATGCTATGTGACTCATCAACAAAAACAAGTACACCACGGGGAAAAAGAAAACGGCAAATGTACACAGTATTTCGATTTCAATTGTTGAATGAACATTACATATTGATTAAGCGACCAACCGACCAGTTGTTGCGATTTCCCTTATATTGCATTATTTAAGCCGTTATTTCCACGTGAACAAGTGCAAGGCAATTAATTGGTTCTTCTTTTTTTACAGTAAACACTTTAAAGAGCGAACTTTATTACGAGGGAACTTATTACATTATCTTTGCTAATTAATAATACATTTTCTTTGTTCACCTTAGCGAGCATTCACTGCATTTGAGAATTTGCCAACATTTGCAGTTATTCGCCGTGAGTCTTGCAATTGGTTTTGGAAAATTTTTTGAATGAATTTCGATTGAGACATCACATGTGATCACTTAGAATGCAATTAGCACGCACTTTCCGCCTTTTTCGCTTATCTTTGGCGGATATTTTGTGTGTTTATCAGCCGGACCGGACCGAGCCGGGCCGGAGGAAGGCAATAATAAATATGAGAGAACAAAGGGGATTTATCTGTGGGGACAAGAACAAGAAGGAAAGCGAAAAACACACAGCAAAAGTAATCAGCAACAGCTGTCAATAAATCATGCACTTTCCAGCGGGGCAGGTTGGGGCGGGGGGAGGACCGCACACACTCATACACCCGCACTTGAACTTCCTTGACGTGAGACAATTATCGACCGATGGGCTTCAGCACCCATACACCGACACTGGCGCTCACTCACTATCACTTACACTTCTCCACTTTACCGAATATATTCGTGGTCATGTAACGCACGCCAAACGCCAAAAAAAAGTTACTACCTCCCCACTCCCACTCCATCGCTCCCTCTTCTTGCGTGTATGTGCCCTGAGTGTTCGTTTGTAATTGAGGCAAAGGTCGCGACGCCTGTCTCACTCGCACCCACAGATGCAAGTCAAGTACCGCTTGGAAATGGAAATTCCAGTGCTCAGAAGGTGTTTTCTGTTTGCAATTTCTGTGTTTTTCTTCGTTTAATTCTTCCACTTGGCTTTTACCTGCCGTCGACTTACCTGGTGCTTCTTCTTCGCTACTGCTGCTGCTCCTACAACTTGCGTCTGTGTTTGTTGTCTCCTGCTAGCGTGTGTGTTTGTGTGAGGGTTCTTGATTGACTCCGTTTTCCTGGCGATTTAATTGTTTGGTGAAATATAGCATTGGACTCGCCGTTGCCGCTGCCGCGTTTTCCTTAAGTCCACGCACTTTCACGCACTTGATTTTGTCGCACTAATTGTTTATTTGTTATTGTTGTTCGTCTTGCAGTACAGCTGGGGATGTGAAAAATGTACAAGTATCGATTCAAACGAATCGATTGTCTACACATCGCACTATTGTTAGGGGTGCGCAAGGCATCGATGAAATTATCGATGCATCGATGTTTTTCACAGATTTTAAATAATAGATTTTTCTGTGCCGTCACTATCAAGAGAGTTTTGTACGCTCTCAATACCTTACAGCATGCTCTCTTTTTTTAATTCACCCCCACTTTTCTGATAACGATCGGAGAACTATCGATATGCGATACTTTTAGCCCGAGACTCGTGTCTGACAACGATGTGGGCTCGAGCACTTGGTGCTGCCAGACAGGCAACGTAATTAAAACGTATATTATGACGTAAACTTTTTTTGAATTTAAAATTAATTTATAGTTTTTTCTTTTTGCTGTTAAAATAAATTTTAACGTAAATCATATAAGTACAACCGTTGTTTATGCAATGCTATTTAATTTTATTTTGTAAAAATTTGAAATTAATGTATCTGGCGCCTGCGACTTATTTAATTGTTTTAAATTTATGACAGCAAATTATTTCGGAACCTTTAAATGTTATAATATTTTAGAAGTCACTACTTAAAAGTTTACCGGTCTTAGCTTAAGCCCCATATTTTATGTGATGTCGTAATATAATGTTGGTGAATGAATTAATCAAACCTCCATTAGTTTATCTTTATGACTCCCCTAACAGTTACTAAATATACATTCACTTTTTTATTGCACTTTTAATGCAAACAAACTGCGCACAAAAAGTGAAATTTCCTAGATTCCCCAATCTTTCCAGCCATAAAGAAAGACAACTATTTGTTTAAACAATTATTTAGCAGCCGCTTTAAATGCGAGCGCCAAGTTCCGTTGAGAGCGGCTCTCAGTCGAGAAAACTTGGCTTCTTCAGCCTTTATTTTTCACACATTGCCACCGAGTTTCAGAGTTTTTGGAGCTTTGGAGCTTCTTTGGAGCAAGAACTGCCTCGTCGCTCGAAGTGAAAATGATCCAAAATTTAATGTACCGTCCGCTCTGGATCTTTAGTCATTCGAGTCGCGGGCTTTGAACAGAGCAGAGGCGGAAGTCACAAATCACGGATTACGGATAACGAAAGGATTACGCGACCAAAGGATACGCAATGAGGCAGTTGTTGATATACGCGTTAATAACGTCGGGCTTGTTTTACTTTTCCGAAGGTACAAAAAATCGACTAGCAAGTGCAAGTGGTGAAAAACCAAGAGCCAGTTTTGGTTTTCATTATTATTTTATATTATCTTTTATAAATATATGCTTTTTCTTTTTGCCTTCAATTTCAAAAACAAAATTCAAAATGGTTTCCATTTTCAAAATACACCTAGTAATTTATGATTTAAATTAAAATACGACTTCATAATTGCACGACTTTAAAAGAAAATACATTACAAAAACAACCAAAACTGGCAAAAGAAAAATGTGTGAAAATTTGTTAAGCTTTCCCAGTGAACTTACCTCCATCTTGACGTGTTTCTCTTTCGTTTCTCTATTTTTCCTCTTTCCGGACTCTTGGCCAACCCAAAGGCAAACCATGCCCCGAAAAGACACGACCTCACAAGACGCGCTGTGATGCCTTCTACAAGTGCCGGGAGCTGCCCTCCAGTTCCCACGTTTGGGTTCCAGTGCGGTGCAATGAGGGCCTGGTCTACGAGGCCAGCCTCGGCAGCTGCGTCCTGCCTGGCGAGGATTGGGAGTGCATTACGCCCAACGAGATGAGCTCTACACAGGCGCCATCGAAGCCGGATGCGGACATACTGATAGTAAACGACTTAGACGAAGCGGGTATGCTGCTAAGTGATTCCTCCCACAAGGATGATGGCACGGTTGAGATTGTTCTGGATTCCACTCTGAGCAGCGAAGAGGAGGAACTGGCGGCCTCGGGGAAGAGTAAGATGCATTCAGAGGAGGACCACTCCTCCTCCAGTCACCAATTTGACTCCAGTGGTGATGGCGAGCTTGTGGAATTAGATTCACCAGCTTTGGCTTCCACGAAGGTTCCCCTGAAGCCCGAAAATCGGGAGGAGGAGGATGACCAGGAGACTTCACCCAGTTTGGAGCACAGATCTGAGGTTGAGAAGCTGAAGGCAGAGCTCAAGCAGGCGGCTGGAGTTAGTGAATTATCCAAGCCAGGGTCACCCATCGATCCCAACCTGACGGCTCACCTGCAGAGACTCTCCCAGTTGATCGATGGACTGCAGCAAACATACCAGAAGACAGAGAAACCCCAAGCGGAGATGCGTCCAGATCAGTTGAACGCCTTCCTGGCTCATTTTGACATCAAGAATCGATACGAGATGATGAATCCTCTGGAGCAGACTACACCCAGCACCACCACCAGCACCACACAGATGCCGGCGACCACACCAAAATTACCAGAACCTCACTTGAACAAGACTCGTCTGCAGGAGCACCTGAGCCACCATGGCCTGGAGCCAGAGACGAAGCTAATGTTGACCAATTCCGTTCCCTATTCCGCCCATGGATCCAATGGCCAGGGTTATGCCAACTCTCAAATAGTGGTTAATCGTCCCGAAGGTTCCGTGATGTTTGCCCTGCCTCCCAATTATGGAATGAGCCAGGAGCAAGGTGCCTCCTCCAACCATCATCCCACCCAGAGTCACGAGTACAGCGACCACGAACCAAAAATATCCGAGGACACATTGAAGACCGTGCTGGAGCTGTCCAAGCAGATGATAGCTGCACAAAATCTTCCCAAGGTGCTGCCCAATCCCGGCTATAATGGCTATTACCAGCCCATTTTGCAGCCGGTATTTATGTCACCGCAGGGTAATCCCTTCCAGCAATACTACGGCATGCCGGCTCCCCTGAGTGGACACTACATGCAGCACAAGAAGCACTCCTCCTCGGGCAGTTCCCCCAGCAATGGTGGCTACAACAAGCCCAGCACGACGATAATACACAACAACGTGATACCAGTGCATCTGTCCAGCACGAGTTCCGGCGAAAAGGAGGTGCTGGACTCGTATGGCAACAGTCTGGGTGTGTATCCCAGCATGGATAAGCATCAGTCTAGTTCGAGTGGAATGGAGTATATGACCACGGCCAGGCCGGTTTCGATGACAACGATGGCAAGTACATATGCCTCCTACGGCTCCCAGTCTCCGTTTGCCAATGACTATACACTGACCACTCCGCGACCCTTTGAGCACCAGCCTTCGGCAGCCACCGTGGCCAACTTCTACACGCCGAGTCCGCATCTGGGCGAGCACAATGCCAATAGAGTGTATCAGCCAACCGAGAGTTATCCCAGCTCGATGAATATGCCCAGACCGATGGATATGTTCCCGGGACAGATTGAGGCGGACAGGGTGGCCATTCGACCCAATTCGCAGAAAATCGAAAGCATGGAGATGATGGGCGATGATGACTTGATTAAGGCCAGCTACCAGAGCGCTTCATCATCGGGAACTGGCGGTGGCGGGAATGGGAACACTCTTCCTCACGTACTGACCTACAGCAGCGACATGAGCCAGCAATTAGCACCTGGCAGCGGGTATCTGGAGCATAGCTACCAGAGCCACCATAAACACCAGCAGCACCCGTATATGCCCAGGCCCACGATGGGCAGCAGCATCTATAGCGATGCGGAGGGCAACATGGAGATGAGCATGTTCACCAGCAGTCCGAATCTTAATCCATTTACGGCGGAGAAGATGAAGTACCCGGTTGCTGGTTCCGGCTCCTCCTCGCACAACGGCCAGCTGGTGAACTTCAATGGGAACTTTATCAGTCTCGATGTCTTCCAGAAGTCCATACTCCCGCTGATGACCAAGACCTCAGCGGGTCTCAGTGATCTGGGCAACGTGGAAGTCATCACCTGTCAGCCGGGAGTGAGGCAGCCGAATCAGACTGACTGCACCCGGTACTTTGTGTGCAGCAAGAAGGATGGCAAGGTCCTGTCCTACTCCTGTCCGCCCTACACTGGCTTCAACAAACAGACAAGGATCTGTGATGCTCCCACTTATGCCCAGTGTGGCAATGTGATGCCTGCCTTCAGTGGCTACACCATAGACACCAACAGGAGGCTACAGATGGAGACCATCAAGATGCTGAACGAGGCCAAGAGAAGGCAGGAGGCCGCTTTGAAGGCCCAGAGCATAGCCAATCTCCTCCAGCAATATGGGAGCAGCAGCAGTACCAGTAATAACTTCCAGCTGCAGCAGCAGGCTGGCAGGCCTGGGATCTCCTCAAACATCGAGAGTGATCCCATGGACTCGTATGCGGTGAATCTGCCGGATATCCAGATGGCAACCACCACCACAAGGCCGCCCACCATTATCCAGGCCAACATTGGAGGTGGTTTTGGGAGCAATATCGGGAGCAGCTCCTCCTCATCATCAACGCCTGCCAAGAAACGAAAGTACTACTGCAAGGAGGGCGACAAGATCCCAGACCAGACCTCCATCTCCAGCTACTTTGTGTGCTACAAGAATGCACAGGGCCAGATGAAGGGACACAAGATGAGCTGCTCCAAGGGCCTGCTCTTCTGTCCCAAGACCCTGCTCTGCACACTAGCCACCAAGTGCACCGATTAATCACTTGGGATCTGGACAATATTGTTGAGAATTTTTCCACAATTGCCACCTAAATTTAAGTTATTTATTCTAATTTTAGTTTGAGAACGAAACGAGACCCATTAAACTCTGGAACGAACAAAATAAACCCATGAAAAATACCTGCGTCTTTGTTTTTTCTTTCTTTTTTGTTTGAGAAAGTTTCTCGGCTTGTTCTAGACCAAATAAGACCTTGCCCTTCCGGTTTCTGGGCTTTTTAGCCAGAAGAACTGACCTTCTAAAGTGACTCCGAACGTGATATGTGCCAGGCGGTCACTAAAAGTCAGGAGCGGAGTTTGGTTGCCAAGGGAAAACGGGGAAATTAAATAACAAATTTAAATTAAACAAGTTTTTTCTATGTTTTATAGAGAGATTTTTAATAGATTATTATTTAAAACTCACAGAAACTATAGTAATTAAATGAATACCATTACTTTGTAAGACAAAATAATGTAGTTGCAAGAAAAAAATATATTGTTTTTACATCATAGTTATTTCTCCAATAAAAGTATGAAGTAATTTGCTTTAACAGCATTTTGCTGTATCTAAAAAAAGTTTTTAATACTTTTTCACTATTTGAATATTACTTAAGTACACCTTAATAAACCTGTTAAGAAAGTGGAAAAGCGTAAAAACAAATATTGCAGCATTAACATAATAAATAATATATTTATTATATGTACAACACTTCCCACAGCTATTATTTAAAATAACATTAAAGTTCTTTGCCCTTCGGTGCTATTCCGCCCCTGTTTTTAGTCACTCGATTTTCACTTTTTTAATGTCTCCATGGAGGCTTTTACTTGTTTATGTTTTTTAAGTGCGCTGCCCAAATGGGTATCATTATTATTATATGAAACAGTTGACATTTACGCTCGTGATCCGAGATCTAGTTTAATTATAAACACTCATTCAAGTTGGCATAAAATGAGTGCAATTGTACCGAGCAAATATTTAAAGATTTTCTCAAGTTGTGTTGACCGGTTCACAGGTTGCTTATTAGCGTGGTTAAACAAATTGTGGGATGACATGTGGCATTAAAGTTTATGAAAGACTTTAGTGACATTAAATTCAGTTGGATGTATTGCAGAAAAATTAATTTTTAAACTATTTTTAGCCGTTGGTTTATGTATATATATATGGAATATTATACCTTTGCAGTTATGATCATGGGTTCGAATGTGTAATCGATTATAATTAAGCCAAAGATCTCAATTTGGAAACTTTTACTTTAAATGGAAATTTAGTAATGGAAATTGGAAAAGAAATGCATTGTTAGCACTTTTGATTCTTGACCCAGGTTGATCCCTTCTATAGCCTCTATATAAATAATATAATTATCATGGTTAAGACTTACCATAATCCATTTTCTTCATTGCTTGATTCCTTCCAGTGTCGAGTTGAATACTTTGTGACTTCAATTAGGCTTCTCATGGTGTCATCAAAGTAAGCTTCTTCCTTGTTATCCAGATTGTTATCGATTGGTCAGATGATATGTTTGGGGTCGGAGGGTAATCACTATCACTACCACTAATCACCATAGATGTAAGCACTGGGAAGGCCACGTACAGAATGAGGTCAGCGCAATGGCAGCGCCTGGTATTTATAGGTTCCGAGTAAAGAGAACAGAAAAATTGAGAGCAGAAGAGAAAGAGGTACCTCTAGAGATAGGCAGAGAGAAGAGGATAGAGAGAAAGAGATATCTCTGGAGAAACACATAGACATACCGAAAAAGAGAGAGAGAGAGCGAGGGAGATAAAGAGGCAGAGGGTTGGAGACATAGAAAAATTGAGATAGGGTAAAAGAGAGTCAGGGAGGGAGAAATAATATTTAATTAATATTTAGTGCATAATTATTTCCCAAAACTATTAACTACCCGCGATTATACATAATTTTAAAATTATTTAAAAAACAAAACTGTAAAGGGAAAAGTCTTTCTTTAAGTACTTTCTTGTGATTCTTGGATTTCACTTTCAGCTCCGGTGGCTCCAACCCCAGAGATACTATTACCCATGCCAGAGCAAGATGCTGCTTTTGACCCTGCCCGGAGAGATTATTATTATTATTACCATTTTTTTGTTGGTCTTGGCGCGTGTGCCCCTCTAGAAAGTGACAGTTTTCTGTGCACACTTCTAGGTAAAATCCACTTTCTCCTTCGACCGCACTCATCTGAGGCCCTTTCTTATGCTATCCATACTCTAATTAGTCGCTAATAATTGTTTAAACGCACTGGCACACACATCAATTTAGGCACACTTGACGGGATGGCTGAGCACGCGTTGTTGTGCCGCCTAGAAATTGTTGATTTGACACTCACGCTCCTCCCACTCTCACTCTGACCATACAATGACTATATATAAATATATCTGTATATATAAAGTCGTGAAATAGATCCCAAGACAAGGTACAGTTCACAGATATGCCAGTTTTCCACAGTGCACACTAAGGTTAAGTCAGAAAGACCACTTGCGTAACCCTCAGGTGAGTTCACTGGCTTTCCACCAAGACCTCTGGGGACCTTCACGAAGAAAGTTGTGTGTCGTCTTTGGTCTGTAAATGTATAAATATTAACCAGTGCAATTAACCAAAACGTTATAAACGTAGCTATAGGTGCTTAATTTGTGACAAGTGCATTGTATAATGGTTTAAGGATGGGAGCTTCAGGTGAAAATGTAGTTTCAGCTTAATTTCTTTAAAAATATAATAAAATATTTCTCAAAATGCGATCCAAGAACCACACATTTTCTAAATTAACATTAAACCGTGATAAATCCGTTCTAAACAGTTGAATTTTTATTAGTTTTAACCATTTTCCAACCTGCCATCCTTCCTTTCCATTCGATTGATATAAGCTTTTTAAAGTTTTCTCAACAACTACTTACAATTCCATTACATTTACTAATTATTAAATTGTATGACATCTTTGATTTTTGCTTTTGCGCTTTTCAACAACATTTAAAAACTACGATTCAACATTTGCTTCCACATATTGCTTATAAGGGAAAAGTTTTTTGGGAGAGTTGAGCCACGAGTTGGCCATATATAATATATGTATAGTATTGGTTTTTTGTTTTTCGTTAGAAGAAATGCATATAAACATTGCTTTCGTGACTATTTAGGGTTTCTCTGTTTACAATTAATTAGTTTCATACAATATGCTACAAGGTTTTTGTTTCTTTGGGAGGGGTTTCATTAGCTTTGGGGGTTTCTCTTTGCAAACTAACAATTTCCTAGAGTAGTTTTTTTTGGTTTTACTGGTTTTAGTTTGGTTTAAAAGTTTTACCCATTACGCTTAGGTTGCATTAGTTTATAATACAATTATCACATTCCTTTTGATGATGATATATATACTCAGTTTAAATCTTTCTTCTTGACTCGATTTAAAAACTATATAGAGACTCGCTCGCTACGCCCGGCTAATCAGCGATTATTATTGCTTAGGGTTTAATATATATATATGTATATCTAGCAGCAATGCAACTCAGGGGACGTGAATTTAATTGCGATTTATCACTAGGCGGCCTTATGGACTAGTTTCACTTAGGTTTCTAGCATTTCTGACATTTAAAGCGCACAGAGAGAGGAACACAGTAGCGTAGCAGACAAAAATCAAAGAGATTGCATCCCTTCCTTCCAGCCTCCACATCCCATTCTAGACCATTCCGAATCCCTCGCTGCCCTCGCTTATGGCCAGGAGCAGAGACTTCTCGAATTGCTCGTAGCTCTCGTAGTCCGGCAGGCACAGCTGGTTGAAGCTGTAGATTTAATCGAAAAAGTTTTATATAAATTCCCAAGGGTAGAAAAAAACTTCACCCACCAGGTGTGCGCCGTGGGCAGATTGCCAAATGTCGGTGCTGCCGTTATCTGGAACTGCGGATTCAGCTCCTGGAATCCACCCGGCGGCAGCTGGGAACATCCCGTGGTAAACTGCAGCAGTCGAGCCATCTCCGTCTGACTAAAGTTGCTGACGCCGGCCCAAAACCAGGCCAGAACCCGCCGGAACTCCGCCGAGTTGCCATTGGCAATGTGATGCGACTTGAAGTCGCTGATGGAATACTCACCGGTGCCGCACATAAGGAGCTCAAGAAAGGATACATTTACACATAATTAATTTAATGAATTCAATGTTTACTTGGACTTAAATCAAGTTTTTCTAATCTAAACTTACCTCCAGTTCGTTCTCATCGAAAATGCTTAGAAGATTATCTGGTATTATGGAATTGAGACCCTTAGAAAGCTGTCCACCTCATCCTTGACATTATTACATAGACGCTGTTGGGCCAGGAATCCAAATACTGGTTCTTAGTGGCATTGGTCACGCGAGTTCTGGCCCCATTGGGAATCAGTTCAATGGTTTTGCTCAACTGCCCGCTGCTGGGGTCGTACATTCCTCCACAAAGCACAGCTCCAGGGTGTCCGTGGCATCCAGATCAGTATCCAGGATGTATTTGATTTTGGACAAATACAAATCAGGGTCATCTTGCTCAAAGTACTGTGTAAGAGTGAAGAATGTTATTAATTAGGCCTTATCTAAAACCAATATTATTTACCTTATAGTGCACCCTTAGCCCAATTAGCTGAGCCAGAAAGGAGCGACTGAATCGCGCTCGGACCAGCTGGCGATAGCTTCCTCCCAGGGCACTCTCAAACAGGCACTTTCCCACCATTTTACCGGCGAACTCAAAGTGCTTCAGCTTAAGATGGGCGGGACGTGTGGGATTGGGATGCACAAGCGCCTGATGCTTGTCATGGAAAGTGCAGAATAGTCCGCCGCGGGCATCAAAAAGGGAACTGCAGACCAGTTCGAACCACTCCCGGCGCAGGCCCCCCCAATCGATGCCCTGTTCTCCCTGGAATGTCACCTCAAAGTTGCCACACCAATCGGACACCGAGAAGCCCTTGGCCGCCTTCATGCTGCTCTCCAGGATCTTGTCCCTCTGCACCTTCAGAGCCATCTTCTCATGGTAATAGCTGGCATGGAA